GGTACCCTCATTCTAGAATTCACCCTGAAGCAGTACAAGACCTACATGCGACCTCACTCAGAGGTTTATAACGTCATTCTGCCACCATGCATGGGTAAAGATGTGAAAATCCCGGAGAAAGCGAAGCAGTGAGAAATGAACGATGTTGTGGTAATTAGGCCAAAACCCTGTGAGGATAGGGTGGCAAACCTAGGGCTTAAACGTCCTGGTTACCGTAGGTCACATGGTGTCCTGATTGGCGCCCTCAAAATACCAAGCAATGGCAGTCATTCGAATGCTGCAATCCTGCTGAACGGCCATTGTGGAAATCCCTGTGGTAACCCAAGAGGAATCGCCCGAATATTTCGTACTACCAATGCCATTGGCAACCCGACTTATTTCTCAATAATTCCCATTTTAACATCAAGAACAAGATATTCAGTGAAGAGTCCCTTGTAAACGAGTTTAATTTCAGGTTGTACATTCGTATATATGATATTTGAAAAGTTATATCCTGTGAGGAGAACTAAACACTACTTGATGATTACAAAATTAGTAAAAGTGTAAGGAATGGCAAGACTGAGAAGCAGGAGGGAGTGTTCATTATGACTTCTCGTGCAGTGGTCACGAAATATTGCACACTTTCCTCTAAAACAGTCGTTTGCACAATGTGCTTCATTTCCTCTTCTGCTTCCATCTCGATTTGCCCTTCACAGGCCCACGCTGTCCCTTTGGTTTCTCTGGGTAGAATGTTTACCCCTAGCCGGTAATTGCCTATGATTTCTGCCCTCTCAGTATGTACCACTTATATCCATCCTTATCAGTACCTTCCCTCCACAAAATGGATGATAACACAAGGATTTCTGATTATGGTAACAGCTGAAATGACAGTGACAGCTACTTTTATCAGAATTGTAAATACCCACGTCGTCACTCGTTCTATGATCATTGTCACCATATATTGTCGTAAGTATTATTTATTACTTTTTACATTTTGTTTCGTCTGTGAAGTTTCGTTGGCGGTTAGATATTTTTTACGGGGTAGAGTTGCTAGCCCTATGCCGAACCTTCTCTCTTTATCCGGGCTTAGGACTGGCTAGTAACTAGTAAAATAGTTTACCAGGCCTGGAGGGATGCGAAGGTACCTGCAGATTGGAAGAAGGGTCACCTTGTCAAACTCCCAAAGAAGGGAGACCACAGTGCATGCAAGAACTGGCGCGGAATCACTCTCCTGTCCACCCCAAGCAAAATATTAAGCTGCATCATCGTGGAGAAGTTAATGGATGCACTGGATTCAAAACTACGACCCGAACGGGCAGGCTTCGGGAAGTACAAATCACATACGGACCAAATTGCAACCCTCCTAACGCATCATCATAGAACAGACTACAGAGTGGCAGTCAACTCTACACCTCAACTTCATCCACTTTGAAAAGGCCTTTGACAGCGTCGACCGAGAGGTAATTTGGAAACTGCTTCAATACTACGGAATACCACAAACCTTATCAGCCTCATTCAACAGCTATATAAAGACGCCACATGCCAGCCAAGTAATTCACAATGGGAAGCTCAGCTCAGTGATGCTTTTGAAGTGAAGTGAAGACAGGAGTGAAACAAGGTTGCCTACTATCTCCCATGACATACCTGATAGTGGTCGACTGGATCATGCAGCAAACAGTGGGGAGCGAGAAGAGGGGAATACGCTGCTTGGTCAGGGAAAAAAACCTAGAAGACTTGGATTTCGCCAGTGATGAATTGTGTCTGATGTCACACAAACTTGATGACCTACAGGTGAAAACTAACAAGTTGTCAGAAGAGGCGAGGCAGCGAAGACGGGACTTCAAGTGAATATAGAGAAGACAGAAGTGACGAAGATACCGCATCAACAACAACAACAACAAACTCCAATCACCATCAACGTGAGAAACTTAAAGGAAGTAACCTCCTTCACCTATCTAGGAAGCACTGTTTCAACTACAGGCGGCACAGGCAGAGACGAGGATGTCAAAGTCAGAATCGGAAAACCAAGACAGGCGTTCATTACCCTGAAACCAGTGTGCAGATCTTCTGCACTCAGCATGTGGAACAAGATCCGGATTTTCAACACCAACGTCAAGTCAGTGCTTCTGCATGGCTCAGAGACTTGGCGCGTTACGAAAGGCATTTCCAATAAACTACAGACATTCGTCAACAGCTGCTGCCTACGCTCACTCCTTACTGAAGATCAGATGGCCAGGAAGAATAAGCAACAAGAAACTCACTCTGGCTGGTCACGAACCAACCAAGAACCTATCACTCAACAAATATGCACTGGAAGGAAGTGGAGATGGATTGGAGTGGGCATACACTGAGAAGGCCGACTGGGGACATCACGCGTCAGGCCAGTTGCTCGAGTGGAACCCCCATGGGAAGCGACGAGTTGGGCGTCCGAGGTCACGGTGACATGGAGGAGATCGTGCGACGAGGAAATCAGAGCTTGTGGGCTGTCGTGGAGCCAGGTTCAAAAGATTTCAGAGAACAGAGTTCACTGGAAACGTGCTACTGAAGCCCTATTTTCCATTAGGATAGCTAATAATAATAACAATTATTTGTTACTGTCTATACAGTATATCTTGACGTTTCAGTGAACCTGGGGATGAATTTCCTTTGAAAAGTACATAGAATATGTTGTGGTACTTCTCTCAACAAATATGATCTTTCAAATTAGAACACTGAGTAATATAGCCAGTATTACTTTTTTAGAGAAAGAAATTGCTGAGTTACTTCCTCTTCTTTTTGAGTGATGCTTTTACATGTTCATTAGACATGACTTTCACCTCTTCCAGATAGCCTAAAGGCATAACAAAAATTTTAAATTTAACCAAACGTTCATCATTTGTATATGGCGTAAAGTTTTCTTTCCTTCACTACTACCACTACCTGAGATGAAAAGATGGCGAACAAAATTTTTCTTAATATTACCGGAGATTTTCCCCCACTAATTGATATGGACACGTAAATTCGGGAATAAATTATTATTACTGTATAATAATAAGTTCTTCTAACAGGACATGACTTTCCAAATATCATATTCATACGAACTTACGGCTTGAAAATAAACTTGACCTATCCTTATAGCTTCCTGTTGGACATCTCACCTCAAGTTACTATACGCCTAAAAACAACGTTACTATTTCTGTTCCCATAATCCACCCTTTGGTCTCACTCTTTCGTTCTCTTCTCTCGTCTCGCTAAATCTATAATCTCACCCCACCTATTAAAGTTCCCCTCGTTTCCCACAAAATGTGCTGTAGGAAATTTACCGCGTGACAGATGATTGCACCACGATTGCTGTCCGTTGGCTTGTTGGGTTTAGCCAGAACAAAAGTATTATTACGTTTTTCAGTGAAGGGTAAGTGTGCAGTGACACTGGCTGTTAATAATTTGTTGTGCTAACCTTCATTTTGTTGAGGAAAAGATGAAGTAACAGGTTTTACAGTGATTCACACCAAACCAACTTTTATGCAACTGTGAAGCTATCTTTGCATTTACGGCAGTGTTAAGATGTATGTAAGCACTGATTTACCTAATGTTCTGACGGCTGTTGAATGTATATATGCTGAAGCGTACATTATTCCCAGCTCACAATTGAGGGTGTGTTCAAGACGATGAGTATTTATCGTTGTATATCAAACACACACGCCTCTTTTTTTGTATACGTTTTCTGAAACCTTTAAAAGTGTTTAGTTTTCGTTAATTAATTTCTTCCTGTCAGCTACAGTCCCTTCAATCCAAAAGGTGTGTCTCTTCTGAGCACCATATAGAGCCATATGCCTTATCCATATCAATATATGCACGTTTCCGATTATGCGTAGGGTTCCATGTATGAGATAGCTCTAGTAAGCTTCCAGATAATGTCTTCGAAACATGGACGGCTGACATCCAATATATTTTGAGCAACCGTGGTATCACCAGAGTATCCGCGGAAAAATATCCGCAGCTCAACTTCTCTGACACCCTGAACACCAGCTCCAGCTACAAAGACGTGGCAATCAGAGCGGACATCACCCTACACTTTCTCCGTGAAAAACTTGGCGCTCCCGTCCCTGAACTGTCTCTGACAGTTTTCAAATACTACTTGAGGCTTCACCCAGAGGTTTTCGATACGGTGGCACCCTCAATACTCAAGAGAGACTTTAATCTCCTTGAAAAAATAAAAAGGTTCACAACAAACCAGTTGTAGGAATAGGGGAAGGCATACTCTGAAAAGCCGGAACAGTCGAATCTGTTCACCTTGGGCCATCACAGAAAGAACGGTGACCTTACTATGGTCTACAAGATCATCCATCAGGCGAATCACTCAAACAAACCAACCTTGTCTGCAACACGGTGGTCGTAATGAGGAAACTCCACCAGGATGGTACACCAGAGAGCTAGTGCCAGGCTCGAGCCTAAACTTTTCTCTTTAGAAGTATGTGCTTTATGGAATGCCCTGCTGCAGGATTTAGTCATGGACCCCTTGATTGACTCATTCAAAAGACGGTCAAACAGTCATGTCATTCCACATGGTCTACCACGGTCGTACTCAGAGAGTTACTAACCCCAATAGCTCACCACCACTTCCCTTCCGCTTACCACTTGCTACCTCTTTTTTTGGTGCACATACACTATTTGCTAGTAGCAATTTTCTAGCAACCAGACCCATGCTACCTACTTTTATCCTTGGGGTAATTCTCACACACTTTTTCTCGTTATCTTACTATTCCTATTCAAGCACCCGCACAGAAAGGAGTCACAGAAGGTCCCTAATCTTCTCAGTAACTCGTAGCTCCCTAATCACTCTACGAATTGTAATTTACTAACCCATAAAGCATGCACTTCGACGGAGCAAGAGAGCAGAAAAGATTTCCCTGTCCATTGCAGGAGCAAAGCAAGTATCACGAACCAAGTCCTAAGTACTAGACATACAAGATCAAAATCTATAAGTTTTCTACGATCGCATTATTAATGTTAGATGTTGGATGTTGAATGACTTTCGCCCCAGTATCTTCAAGCCGATTGGTAATCCTGAAGGTTACCTGTCACCAGAGTTTGCTTGAAGTTGGCACTCGCGCGAAGTTGAATATTGGATATTTGAAGTCAGGATAGTGGACGGTGATTCGCACTCCATGTAACGTAGTTCTCAGCTTTGCGTAACTTCATTTTTCAGACTGCTCTTCCTACTCTGCATCTGTTGATAAAGCTCCCCCGTCTACTGCTACTAGTAAATATTAGTGTGCATGTAGCTTTTGTTGAATCGTCGGCTCATGCATTTCTCTTCGCCGCTGAAGATTCTCGTGCTACCTGAGTGAACTATCATTGCCCAAACTCATCTGCACTCTTCTGTTCACCCACCACATCAGGCTGCACAAAAGTCAACTACCAGCAGGTTGTTGAGCCCAAAAATGAGTTGTGGCCCACAAATCTGCATCAGTTATCGGAAATCGAAAAAGCCAAGACTTAATGACAGTATCGACTTAATGAGAAGTAGAGCATTATTGAATACATCGAGAAGAATTCTTCAGAAGTCAGGTACCTCGTTGTTTGCTTTACTTGTTTTGTAATCACTTTTATGTAAACCGGTAATGTTCTTTTTTCTATGAAAAAGCAATAAAGTAGGTACTCCGTCGTCTAAGAATCTATCTTGAGAAATATCAGCAAGCAGCATGCTGTGAAGATACCACCCAAAACTGGTCACGACATGGGGAACTGTTGGCACTCTGAAAGTATGAAATCTTCTTTCCTTGAGTAATTTGTAGTGGTTGATCATATAGGTATGCTGCCAACAGATTTTGTCGATAGCATCAAAAGACACACTTAGGGAAATTGCGACGAATTAAAGTATGTGTGTGAGCGTTATGTTCTGTTTACCAATTGTTTGTTTCTCCAAGTGTTCGTGTTATCCTGAAGTTGAAATGAGGAATGAACAACTTTCACTAGACTACAACTTAACACTATTGTGCGCACTACATCAAATCCTGACTAAATTTGAGAGAGTTAAATTCGGAAACTGAACACATGGAGGATATGGTTCCCTATATACTTGTTAAGTGGAGGTTTTTTAGGTAGTGGTTCTCATTTCAGCGCAAATGCCTTAGGCTAAATAATTTCAATCGGGACATTACTTCTTGACCGTAATGTCCAGTTTTAGTTACTCAACTTCATTTGGTAAGTCTTTGCAAGTATTTGTGATTGTATCTGTTAGGTCCCTGGAGAATATTGAATTCTGACGATTAAAGACTTGGAAATCGTATAAATTCTAAATATAATTTCACTCGCAATATGCATTGCATTTAGAAGCCTTCAAACACCAAGACTGTGCGAATAATCCACTTACGTCTGATTGGTTGTTGCAAGACCATTCACGAGTTTCCTGAGGATGTAATAATTCTTTATTTATACTTTATTATAACAAGTAGCTGCTGATAAGGAATCATGCTGAAACATGACTAGGTGGTTGTGTAATATTCCTAAACTGGTGTTTCTTCTGACTTGAAAGAAAAGGGGAGTGAAATGGATCCGGTCGTCAAGCGGAATTGTAGTGACTCGTCAGTTAGTTTTTAGAGCAAACATTTGTTGCGACACTAATATTCCACTTGTTCATTCTAATTTTTTGTGACTAGTTTTCAACATACCCATCTAAATGTCTGTGGTTTAGCATGAGTCATTCAGACTAGTGATCTGGTAATGGTTGTTGTATGTGCTTCCGTTGCAGTACAAGTGTGGTGTTTCGTTGCCTTAATCGAAACATATTGCAGTCAGTAATATGGAATTGTAGTTCGTCTGTGTATTAAGCCGACGTGTAAGACTAGGTCACGAGTTAGCTGCCTCACCTACCAAGGTGTAAACTTCCAGATCTTATCACTAGACCCCGGACTTTGGCTGTCTTACTGTCTAGTTGATAAAGCTGCACGTGGTTGCTGAGTTACATTCTTCCCCATAGTTTCAGTAAAATAGATTTCAATCTACTGCAGTAATTATAAAGTTTCGCAATCCTTGAGCAACTTCGAAATAACCTTGAATATGCCATAGAGAGACGGTTTAAGAAAATGTCAACTTTTACTATGGGAGTGAAGGGAAAATAAAGTGGATATAGCTTTCTAGAGATGATTAAGAGCTCATGTAGGCTTTTGACTGTTTCCTTCTATCCAAAATAGTACACACAACGGAGTTTTTCATGGATGTTGCTGCACAACATTAAACCTGAACTGTAATATAGTGTACAATCCTTCTAGTGGTGCCTTATTACCTCTAAATTATTTGTATGAAACCTTTTAGAGAGATTAAGGAATTAAAAGTTAAGAATTAGACACAAACATCAGCCTCATGAAGTTGTATATTAGATCTATTGATTTCAAAGTACAATACTTAAGAATTTGGTCATGGAGCAACAAACCAATTGAGAGTAGGTTCTGTTTTCTGCGCCAGCGTTGAAATTGTCATTGGGATTCCGCATAGGCGTTTCAGTAATTTGAGACTTCTTGGGAAGACTATACAGTCACCTTCAACGTGATTGGCCACTTCTAAGTCATTTGATAGTCGTCTGAGGATGGTAAAATTGTATGGTCCCAGCAGTTTGACGGTATATGTATCCATATACCAGTCTTCAGTCGATATTCATATGTGAACTATATTTAATGGGGGTATTTCAGATGGTAAATTATTCCACTTTCACATCTGCTGATGTTGGTTTGGTGACTAGTTTGACCACAATTATGTTATACAGTGGAGTAATTACTTAGTTTTGTCAAGAACAAGAATATAAAACCCGTGCACACCGTAATGATTGTAAGTTATCAGGGTTTATCGTCATACATCAATGAGTACGGGATGTCGTAGTCAGAAAGTATGAAATCTGTGGAAGAAAGTTGAGGTACTTGGATTCCAGTGTAATGAAGTATCCAGTTGACACATACTGCTATACAACGCTTCTATGGAAGCTTTCCTTTGGATATGGGAATTTGGTAGTAGTGGAGTTGTGTGAAAGCTTGTATTAGAGGATTTCATATGATTGACTTCTTTTTGTTTTCAATTTTAACTACTAGTGTTAGGAATTTTGAAACCGATTTCATTGATACGCGAAAGGTTATTAAATAATCGTACCTTTTTGTGTGTGGAATTTTTAAAAATGTAAGTGTGGCATTAGAAATGATTGTGAAATAACGATGGGGTAAGTTAGCTGTGTATAGGTCCGCACACCATGCGATGAGCCATACGTTGTTTGGTTGGGCGATTACACGTGTAAATGGGTTAGTGTTCCATCCCACCACTCATTGGTTAAAATTCAAGTGTTTGAGCAACGGCATTCTTTCTTGAACTATGTTTGATCACTCCACAACAGTATTGGATCATCATTCAGTACTAAGAGTATAAACCCATAGTAATATTGACTGACTGACGGAGACTAGTTGGACTGTTTCCTTGAGTACTGTACTCAATGGCCAAGACATGGATCTGAGACAAATAGTTGCAGTGATAAATTTCTTTGTGACATGTTTTCGGATCCTTTTCGTTACGTCTAAATTTCCTGTAAAATACTTTAAATCACTCACCTATATTTGAGTGGCATCCATCACTGTTGTTTTTAGTGTCTGAAAAAGTGTTATCGGGAAACTTACACTTTTTGTGTTTATGTGTGAAGAGGTTTTTCCTAAGCAGTTCCATAACAAAGGGTAGTTGTGTTAGAACTTATTTTATATAAAGTATCTCCGACTAATGTCCACGGGTTGTATATGATTCTGATATTTTGTATATATAACGATAGAACCGGCAACATTACTAATAGGCCGTGGGATATTCCTCAGGAGGCCTCATGTTTCCGATCACTGCTGTCTCGAAAGCATCTGGCGTGTGTCGTGGAACCACCAGGTCAATAACGTAGAAGTCGGGTGTAGAGTTTTAGATAGAAACGAAGAGTCAATCGATGAAGTTGTGAACTTTCGTCGACTTGGATGGCTGAGACATATGTTACAGATACCTTGTAACCGTCTACCCCGTTTCATGATCTTAATTAAGGTAGGTTTTGACCGGAAAGGGGTTGGAGGTGGAGAGGCTAAAATACGACATTAATTTATTATCTGTTTTGAATATTGGTCTGAGCCGTGTAGCCAAATGTAAGCTTCCTAATTGTGGTCCACATGACAACCGAAATTAGTGGTTGAAGACTCTAGGTGATATGAGGGAGAATCGATTTCAGTGATGCAAATGTATCCATACATTATTCTAATCCTCATGCTGAATTTCACTACTATTTTATCAGTGTAACTGTAACCTCACTCTACCCACGAAGGTGTGGTTATCAAAAGTAGTGTTACCAGAAGCCGTCACAACAGATATGGCTGATCGTCTACTCCATGAACGTGCAAATAGTTGTTGAGTGCCTTTTGACTTTAGTTTTTAACCATAGAGAAATTAGTTCAGTCAACTTGGTCTATGAAATGATAGGTTCCATAATCATGTAACAACTAACTGGCTCTTAGGAGTGGTATCTACTGGAGAATCATTTAGGCTTGAAACCTGTTTAGGGGTGTGTTGAATAAGAGATATTTTATGCTGGTCGTGTAAGGCAGTACAGGCTTTTATGGTCATGGCAAACTAGAATGGCGGAAATTGTGGTGGGAGATGCAGTAGTGTTGGAGGTATTGTATAAAATTGACTTCAGAAGCGCAGATGCATCTGTTCCTAATCTTTATTGCAACCTGGTATTTGCATACACCCATATTCTTATTGTTTAGTGTTACTTCTACAACTGTTGATGTTTTTGTCTCTCGTGGCACTTTGCCTCATTAATTGAGTTGGTTTGCTTTACCTAGTGGGTCACGAGATCCAACTCCGCTTCGTCTGTTGAGATTTAGGCGAGCAGGTGGTATTATCAGACCCCAAACAGTAGACGTAACTCGTTGTTATTTGTTGACACTTCCGCCCTTCAACGTGTGTGTTAATGTGAGGTGTTTCAACTTGCATTGATAAACCATTCTGTTACTTGGCTATATTGTCTATCTGCTTATGGTGATTGGTTGTGAACTGTTTAATTGTGTTTTTGTTTCAGTGAACCAGTCAAAAAGTTCAGCGAGTTCTCTTCGTAACAATAATGCATCATTAGCAAAAAAGGTTTCTGAATTACAAATTGAGTTAAGTAGTCAAAGGGCAGCTGCACATCAAGCAAATATTGAATTATTGAAATATCGTATGGAATTGAATCGTCTTCATGTGTATGAACAAACTAGAGAGAAAGTCAAGGTAATACTGATGAAAGTTGTATAGAATTGTGTTGCATTTTAGGGTTTCATTCTAAGTTTATATGAATCGTTATGTTCACACATTGAAATGGGTATGTCAATAACGAACTCTGTGAAAGAATCACTATCTCTGTTGGATGCAACTGATTCATCTGATGGTCAAATTTCACAGCAAGTTCCAAGTGTATTGGGAGATACGACAGTGGACGTTGATTTGCTTTCTCGGTAAGTATACTTGTTCTCTTCTTTTATGAAAGTGGAGTGTGTATTTATTTGTTGAATAATGAAAAACTGTTTGGTATGTAATAGTTGTGCTTAATTTTCTTCTCCTTCTTCTTTGAGGGTACCGTTTCCGTGTGTACATGTATCACATGAAATGAGAAGTGAATGCCTTTGTTAGAATTGTGTAGGGATTAAAGAGGAGAACGCAGTTTATTTGCCTAGTTCAAGTTCTTATTTACCGAGTCCTTAAGTCATATGTATTGTAGTGAAGGGGTATGGTGTTACTTGACCGTTCGTGTCTCAATAGATGAAGTGACATTCCATTAAATGTGTAGATGATCCTATTGACCGTATTTTCACGCCGTTAGGTCAAGAAATTACCGGTTGGAGAGTTAATCAATGATAGAGTTAGGTGATCCTACAGCGTTGTGTTTCAAAAATTCTAGACCATCTGGCTATAAAATATCGGAGAGTTGACTTATATGAGGTTGTGAAGGTTAGTCGACTGAAATGGCTTGGACATGTACTGTTCATGTTGGGTCACCGCCTACGTCTATGTGGTATGCTAGGGTAAGTTGGATTATGTTGGAGAGTGGTTAAGGGTAGCCAGATCAATACGTGGCACCAGTCGATGAAGTCCCCGAGTGTTGGCGGCTTGAGCCACGTGAGGAGATGTAGACTGTCTGGTTGGGGTGCCCAAGACGAAAGGAATCAATGACTGAGGACACTAGGTGACATGGTTGGAAATCGGTGACAATGGCGCAGATGTATTCACTCCTTGATTTCTTGTAAAGCTTGAATATTTGCACTAATCTTTGTCTTCAGATTGTTTATTCTCTCATACCACTTTATCTACTTTGACATCACTCATTTTCTATCCATTTGTTCTTTGTGTACTTCTGTGAAGTGTAGCAACTTGAGCAGATGCCCGTGTGTGCAAGGTTCTACATTGATTTCGTCAGTCAGTCATTGTGATTTGGCAATTGGATTTATCTTCCCTAACATTAATCTGTTCAGATCATCCTTTTTTTGAAGTTAAGTCTGAACTTTGATACTTCTTTGAATATAAGAGGATGTGAGTTATCCCGAATATTGTTACACTCTCTTGTTGTTTTTTGATGCGAGGGAGAGAAACGTTTGATCCTGAAAAATGTATCCCACGTTTCTTGTACCAGTAGCGACAGATTGAGATTACAACTTAGGCAACAGTAGTGTATTGTTAGTGAAGTCGTACACACATTTTGAGATATTGTGGAATTCCATATGAATTCTTTACCGGGCTGTTTGGCACTAGAGACGTTGATTGCAACTTACGGAAAACAGTTCTGTGTAGGTTGATATTTACCAGAGGTCATGTGTTTTCCTAAAAAGTAACTGTTGCTTTCTTGCACTCCTCATATCTAGCATCTTTCAGAAGGATCAGTGGTAGATGACTAAGTTTCCATCGTAGTAGCATTGAAATTTTCTTGACTTTGTTGACCAGTGTGTCTGGTGTCTTTTGGAATTGGAAATCATATGCTTAGTGAGTTAACAAGCTCCACTTTTCTGTTCATGAATGCTTGTAAAACGTTTAATTCGCACAGGAGATTGTGTTGAAGAGTGTGTTCGGAAAGACAACAGAGGATATTTGAAGCTTTGTGTAACTGTCCAGCTACTCATCGTAAGATGATATAGATGCTGCGTATGAAGGTGGTACTGGGCGTTGAAATTTGAGTTGTAATAAGGTTGCTGTAAGAGAGTGATGAAATGGTTTGAGGGGTATTTATTCGTAGGTGACTTCCAGTTATCCATATAACCAAATACTGATTTTCAGGTTGAATAGAGTCTTGTTTTACGTGTATTCTCATAGAGTTGTTCTCAAATTTCTATTGTTCAGTTAGGAGAGAAGGTAGAAGTTATGATTGCGATAGATTGCTAGTATCGGGTTGCCCGCTGTCCACTTGTATGCTATCCGAAACATTCAGATAGGATGCCCAACACCTGCATAAAGCTGTAGGTAACCTGAAATGAGGAAGAGCAGCAGGGTCGGACGAACTAGTTTCGGAAGTGTTTGAGGATAGTGGTGGCATACTACAGTTCAGTTTGACTGAAGCACTAACTAGTGTATGGTCCCAATCACTGATTGTTCCAGTCTCTAGAAGAGTAGAGAAATCCTCTTTTGATAACCACGTGGAAATCAGCCTGACGAACAAAGTATCTAATATTCTAAGTTCTGTGATCATGAGACGTCTTAGTGGAAGTGGGGAACAGCAAACCGGAGGAAACCAGATAGGCTTCAGAACTGGGTGTTGGTGTAGTGACCAGATATTCACTCTCTGACAGGTTCTGGAAGACAGGCACATTTACTGATGTCTGATACTGGGTGTATTTCTTGACCTGAAGGTGGCTTTTGATTCCATCAGTGAGAGGTGTTATGGAGATATCTCTTACTGATAAGAGGATTGAGTAAATGTCTCACTCTATTGAAGGCTCTTTACCCGAACAGTTGTAGGTGTATTAGAGCCTATGATGCGTTTTCAGGTGAGGTGTTCACGTCGAGTGGTGTCCGTCAAGGATGTGGACTGTTTTCATTCCTATTCAACTTTGTGATGGACATACTTATGGAGGTGTCCCTCCTGTCGTCCGACTTAACAGAAATTGATGTTGTGACAGGAGAAGGCTTGGTGGGTATAGAGTACGCAGATGACACAGTCCTGTTAGGTGAAGACGCTGACAAGACGCAGAGTCTTCTGGACACCTTGATTGGCAATTTGAGAATGTTTTGAGAGCATTTCTTGCCACTCAAATATACATTGTTGTTCCAGGACTGGTCTTCAGCGGTGCATCTGCTAAAAATAGAGATTAAAGTGGTTGAGTGCGTTGAACAATATTTGTCTGGGAAGTCGTATCAGACACTTTTTGTCGGTGACCGTCTAATTCTCTGCGCGGAAGTAAAAGGCTCGACTGGCTTTTGCTGGCTTAAGCCATCTGTGGCAACCGCGTGATATCTGATCGCCTATCAGGGGTCAGGTGGGCTGTGCTACAGTTGACTTTATTTTACTCTTTAGCTGTGAAATATTGCCATTAAAGGTAAAGGACATGAGAAGGCTTTTGGTGTTTAACCACCGTTGCTTTCGTAGCATAGCCCCTATGTCTTTGTGTTACCACGTCAATGTCCCAGAGTTTTAGGGAGAGGAAAGTCAGTTGGTGGTGTTGTGAACCGTCGTCGACTGAGGTGGCTGAGAAATTTGTTGTGCATGCTTAGTTACTGTCTACCTCGTCACATAATGTTAGCTAAAGTAGGTTTTGGCTGGAAAGAGGTCAGAGGTGGCGAGACTAAAACGTGACATCAGTGCATGAAGTCTTTGACTGTTTTTCTGAGCTATGCAGGGGAATGCAGATTTCCGTGTCGAGGTCCAAATGACAAGAAAGACTAGTGATTGAAGGCTCTAGACGACATGTCTGAGAATCGATGTCGATGGCACAATGCATGCATATGGAACTTAGTATTTTCTCATTCGTCTTTCCTACTGGTTCTGATCGACTTCTCCGTCTTTTTTCATCTTTCATCTTATTGCTTTGTTTTTGGATGTGCTGATATGAGATGTGGCAACTTGGACCGTTATACAGTAATGTCTGGTTCTATGTTGATGATGATGATGATGATGATAGAGGGGATACTGATTAACACTTGTTGCAGACTGAATACTCACAAAGTAGATGAGTTGGGTTTCGTCCATGACGAGAGATGTATAGACAAGATTTCTACCTCACTGCTTTTTTGTTGTATGAGTGCATCAAGTTGATCATCCTCTTCTGTTTGTAGATTACAGTTGACTGCATTCCATTCAGGTGTTTTCTGATTGGTTACAAGCGGTAATGGGAGGGCGAATTCTGTGTAAGAGAACCCTATGAACTCAGAGCAACAGATTATTACTTAAGCTCACACAGTTAGTAGTAGTTGTTGTCCTGTGTCGCAAATGTTCTCCTAAGGATGTCTTTCTACCGTGACCGATTCTTTGTTGAAGGTAATCTAGTCGACTTGCAATGCTTGGACAACGTAGTCACACTGAACGAAGACACTTATGAAATGAAGAAAAATCTTTTGTATTCCACATGAATACTGAAGGATATCTCGTATCCAGTTTTTAATGTTCAGGTTAGAGATAATGAATCAGGAATATTCTGCATTTACATTATGTAGATTGTAAGGTTGTTATTATTCTTCGTTTGACTTACATAGGAAACTGAGTTAACTCTGTTGGTTTTGTGCATGACGAGACCTTAGTATGGATGCAGCCCACTAGACTGACATAGGTTAATCCGTAGCATGATTTTAATTCCATGGCACCAAATAAACTGATATAACATGGATCAGATATTTGAACTAATTACTGGATAATCTAATTTTGATACTGTCACGTGGTTCTGACTTTCTACACGCCTCGTTATCTGAATATCGGTACATTTGTAGTGATTTCAGAGGTCTCTCTGGTAACTGCTGAAGTAACCAGTTAGGCTTCTTCGTTTATGAAGAAATTGCCTTTTCAGCATGCAGCGAGAGACCTTATTAATTACTTCAGTGTTGGTTTGGGTGTCCTTTAGAGTTGCATCAGCTCGAATCGATAGGTGGCTGAGAAAATCTTAGGTTGGATGCAGAAGACTCGTTTGACATTTGCGAACTTGTGATGCCGACTTGCGAGATATCCGACTATCTATGAAAGGACAAGTGTGCTGTGCTGCGATTTCTTGTGTCCTGTGATACATGACCGGTAAGAGTAGGAGGCATGTAGCGGTTAGATGTTTTTGACGATAGGTATCTTCGTAGCATTGGTTTGCACATGGTGGAATTATCGTGTTAGCAGTGTTGACGTCAGTCAAAGGGTTCTAGGTAGGACAGGGAAGTCAATGGAAGAGGTTATGAACCTTCAACGACTCAGGTGGCTTAGACATGTGTTAGGCATGTCGAGCCGCCGCCTACCTCGATATGCAATGGTAGGAGTTGGATTAGATTGGAAGAGGGCTCAGAGTGGCGAGATCAAGGGGTGGCACCAACCCACAAAGTCTCTGGCTGTTGGTCTGGACCATGTACGGAGGTATAGACTGCCTTGCTGAGTTCTTTGAGATGATGGGAATCAATGGTTGAAGACTTGATTGCATAGTTGAAAATCGTTGACAATGGTGCAAATATATTCACTGTTTGATCTATTCTAAAGGTTGTCTACTTTGACAAACGTTTACCTTTCAATTTCTTCGCTCCCCATACACTTTTGTCTATTTTGATATCAGTCTCTTTCTATCCACTTGGTCTTTGTATACTGGTGTGAATTGTGACCAGTTGAACCTGTGCACTTGTGTACGATTTTCCACGTTGATTTTGTCTGTCTGTGTTTGACTTTTAAAGTTGTCCGTGATTTTGTTCGAATGAAACGGAGTTACGCGCAGTGATCAGTTTCACTGAACATGTGATTTCTTTGCAATTGTGAGTCGTAGAGAATTAAGTGAGGAGTCAATGGAAATCTCTTGTGGTGAGCGATGCAGTAACCTTATAAAATCAGTGTTGGGTAAAATGTCTTTTAAAATATTAGTCGTGAGACTACCTCATAATGTAGTGTTATGTTTGAGTTTGTTAGTGTAAATATATGTCTCATTGATGTAAGCCTGAAATCCCGGCACACGGGCTTCAACTTTGATAACTGGAAAGAAAGTATTATGAACCCCTTACTCACAAAGTGTGTCACATAGCCTGGTAAGTGAGGCCTGTGTAGTGAGTTGCAGTTGTGTTTCCTTTCGTATTCTTCTTTCTTCTCACTAATTCACGTGTTGTATTACTAGTATGATGTAAGTTAAAGCTTAGAAATATACTAATTTCTATTATTATACCATCCACTTTGTTTGCATTCAGAAAAGACTTCACAAAACGTTTGCACTTGGTGACAGATCGAGAGGTCTGCCAAGAAAACACAAATCTTTCTGCTCTCCAGTCATCATCATACACCTTGGCAGCTAATCCACTGAATGAGGTGAAGAGTCCTGTTCATGATGAAATTAGTAAGAATTACTATACTGAGAGACCAAATGTGAGTTGAACTCGATAACTTTCATGTTAGATATGTCTGATCCTTCAAAAAGGCTAACCTATGTGATGTATCATTGTAAGGTTTAAACCTTACTTTCACACCCTTTTTGTGCTCCACGCCATGTTACTTATTTCTACCTCGGTTTATGATATCCAAAATTCTGATCGGTTTATTTTACACTTCTACTACGCTTTTTGATATTCTCTTACCAAGTTGTTTTAAAAGGTATATAAACGACTAAATTATCAGCTATAACTGCACTATTCGTTTGAAGTAACTATACAGGCGATCGAATTGTGTCTCTCTTTTTCTGGTGTCATCTGAACATCATATTGGGAAGTCGATATTCTACCGTAAATTGTGTCGTATCGTATCTCATCGAAGCATCATATCGTTTACTTGTATATTGACCACAGATCAAACCACTTCAAGAACTTGTTCGATGTAGCGATTGTAAGAGAAGACGAGGAAGTTGATGCGAATAAGCGTTGATTAAATGCTTTATTATAGTATGGAAGTCTGTGGCAGTATACACTTTTATTCTCTCTGTGGCTGGGCTGGGATTCAGTGTGTTATCTGTAAACACGATTTGGAATTCTCCAAGGTAGCCAGTTTGTGCTGTCGGTTGTATACTAAGCTAATCATACCTAACGTAGCGAGGAGTTGGTAACAGTCTATGACTCTTAAAATCTGGGTTAGCTAGCTGACTGCGTTTGGAATGTTATTACCAATGATAGCTTCACCATGATGTGGAATGACTGTTTTTCCAGTGTTATCGGTGGGTGTTGATCAGTCGCAATTGGGATGTGTGCTCCTGTGTGAATGCCTCAATACTGCCGATATCAACAGTTTTAATGTTAATGATGGGTAGTGGCTAGCAGTGTAATCGGGCTTTATGCTCTGTTCGCTTTTTTTGTTTACTTGTTTGATGCACAATATATTTGTTAGAATTGATTACTAGTAGAAGTGACACTGATTATCTGAAAGATGCTTGTAGTGCTAAAGTCTGATTTTAGTCTTCAATTCCGAAAGGGGTTTTCCTCCTCCTCCTCCTCCTCCTCTTCCTACTATTACTACCACTAGCGGCATAACTTTCATAGGGTGTGGCTAACGTTTTGATGCTTGAAGCTATGGGTAGTTGGCTTCAGTCTCAGAGGAAACATCAGCACTCATCGGGGGTGTAGACACCCTACCTGATGAGGGAGTCCCATATAGGACGTAACGCACGTCCTTAATTCCACTACTAGTCACCAAGATGAGTAGATTATCATGAATATTCGGTGTGGTGGTGACGATCGGAAGGTGGTAGGTGGATCACACGCAAACAGAAGACAGTTCTCTCCCTCTCGAAACTTGGTTTTGATTATGACCAGCGGGAAGGGAATTTGTTTTGATTTGTTTATTGACTTCTGCTTCTCACAATCGACTTCTTCATCAGCTTACCAGTAATGTTCATTAAAAGAAGAAAAGATTGGGTTTTGACATTTCTGTAGGATAAGATACGAGTGTTTGTTTGTTAGCGTTCTACAACTATTCACTTGCTTGTCTTTCGACTGATCATATCACAACAGTCACAAAGTTTTTTTCCACTTTTATCGAGATTTTCCACTACTTTAATTTTTCTCGAAGTTTACTTCATCCGTGTGGGGTTGTAGAATGTAAGTGACGGTCTTCATTGAAGCTGTTGTTATTTGTCGTATAGCTAAGACGTTGGAGAGTTCAACTAAGCATATGTGTAGTGGTTCTTTTTTATGCCGTCATCATCATGTTTTTGGTGGAAATCACCTTTGTATATCTGTTTAGAATGGAAGGTGTTCGTTTTGCTGCCTCGAAAGTCGGTTTAAGTCAATCAGACGGCCGTGTTGTTTCTTCTTGATAATAAATAATACAAGGCGTCCTATATTCAATAATAATAATCATGATTATAATTTGCAAACTCACATGCCATGCTGTTTGACAGTGTAACAAGTGAACTACGATGAAAACCACACAGAAATGAAATGTTCAACATGGCTGCCTGTCGGATGATTGCAAGTCGACTAATGAGACAAGGACGGATAGACAGTCAGTCAGAGGAAACCAGACAGACAAGGTCAACGTGGAACCTTGGAGATCGATAGATTGGTTCAAGTTGAGACAGTTTACAACAGAGTAACATGCTAAGAAGAAGTAGGTCGAAAAGGACTGATATGAAAGTAGACTAAAGTGTATTGGAGGAGAAACGATTTGTAGAGAAAGATTGGTGAAAATATTCATGCATCTGCATCTCAGTCATGTCACTAAGACTCCAACCCCATTGACTCCAGTCGTCTGAGGAACCCCAAACGGCCAATGTACACCTGCCTACACACCTCCAAACAACAGTCGGAGATTTAATGAACTGGTGCGACGTCTTAGTCCAGTCAGTTTGAGCCATCTTTCAACCCAACCCTACTTTGGCTAATATTTGAAGTTTGGGTAAGCAGTGGCTCGACATATACTGACTTATATCCAAGGGACAAAAGGAAACCAGGATAAATGTCTTAATTAATTTATGTGAACGGTTAAGTTAATAAACATTGGACAGATGTTTAAGCAAAGTTTCTTATTCTTTCCTTTGTTGTTGTTGTTGATGGTGGTGGTGGTGGCGGCGGCGGTGTTTTAGTCGCAGGACGAACGGGTTGTTGAAATATCACCGATTGCTGAGTCTCCTTCACCAGAGTGTTCATTTCATAAAGATTCAAGTAAGCTTTGTTTGACTTTCTAAGAAAGAAGAAATTTTATCTTGTTGAAGATATATGATTGTTTTTGTTGTCCTTGGGCATGAGTAATCTGGTTGTGAACGTGATTTGCAGTTGTGATTTGTTTTATTAGACGCTGGGCTTTGTTTATAATATTCACACATGATAGGCATGAGTGTAAACTTTGCACTCGAATGTGTCATTAGTTACTACAATTATTTGTAGGCTTAGTTGGCATCTCCCGCTGTGTTTAACTGTGTTTAACTAGCGGTCTGCTTAGGATAGCTTGTGTCTAGTGGAAACAGCAGCATGTAAGCAATTGTGTGTAAAGCACCGGCTTCGGTAGGTTGGACACGCGTTACTTATTTCATCCCAGTGGTTTCACACTACTCACTGTTCCCTTGTCTTGGGACTTGTTGAAAGAAGTGGAGAGGTGGTCAGTTTATGACGTGACACCATGGGATGAAGAATGGTTGTTCTGGGTTAACGTGTGTAGATGCTCCATGACTTCTTGGACTGAGTTGGAGAGACCAGACAACTTCAGCAGCGTGAGAGGATAGCAGCAGGCGTGGCTTATATTGGAAAGCAGTGGGGATCATGCTGTTGCTTTCTTGTTTCTTTGAGGGGTAAAACGCAAGCAATGTATGGTTTTATGTATATATGTGTGCATGTATGTTTGTTTGAGTGCGCAGCCACTGTTTAGGTCTATGTACAACACTAGGTAGGGTGAGCTGGAACGTGATTACTCTCCCCTTTGAACTGAACAGTGTTTGCCTAATTGTTTTTTTCTTCACTCTTCTCATTACAGTTTTAGCCTCATGTCAAGTTGGAGAACAGGTGTTACCTGAAGTTCTTGCAAAGAATCCTACTGCAAACAATGAACTAGTAACAAGAAAGACAGTCAATACGATCAGTACTGATTTACACAGGGATATTCCTGTCTTTTCACCAATACAAAGTTTTAGACGGTTGACAAGTTCACCTCATATTTTTGTGTCTAAATCTCCTTTGGCTAACTTAGACATTGGTAGTCATGCATCTGCTGCTGCTACTGTCACTCCCACTACTACTACTCCTACTACTCCTACTACAACTACCGGTAATGGTAAAAGAGATGAGAATAATATTGACAGTGACCATGAAAGTAGGTCTAATCGACGACCACATCTGATAAGACAGGTTCGTTTGAATGCGAAGCCCATTATCGATACATCATCATTTATGGAGCCAGTTGTTAAGAAGAAGAAGAAGAAGAAAACTGTTAAACGTCGTCGTTTAATTCGTACTGATGAAAGTGATGATGATGATGATGGTTGTGGTGGTGGTGGTGGTGGTGAAAATGAACCGGGAGAGACTAGACGAGTTATTGAAACATGCTTTCGTCGACCTGGCCAGTATGTGTTCAGAGTTGATTCTAAGAAAACAAATAACTTTGGTAGTACCCATGATAATCCGTCAGTAGGAGTTGATCGTGGAGAGATGGGTAGAATTGGTGATGGTGGTGGTACTAGATCAAAGTCGAAGTTAGCAAGTTGTATTACACGATCAAAGTCTAACACAAAACATCATACTAATAGTGATGATAATGCTAACCAAGTGATTATTGAAAGTGGAGGGATGAAATTGCCAACTGTTGGATCAGCGGTGAGTTGTTTCATTTCATACACTTCTATAGCCTAGCCGTCATGTTGATTTCTACGGGTTAACCCTACTAAATTAGGAATGTTGAACTGGTTATGAATCTGACTCAGAATGAATGTGATGGTCGGTGTAGCTAAAGGCTGGTTATTCACTACTTCATTCTGTGAGATTGCTTAGTGTGAATTTGTTCCAGAGAAATTCAAAACACTGAAACGACCAAATTCGCCTTCACGAAATAAATGACAGGCGCGAGTTGTGTGTGAAATGTAAAGGGCAGGATTTGTCTGACTTACATTAGTGTATTGATGAAGTTTGGTTACAAAGTGTGAATCATGAGGTGTCTGTGTGCTACTCACCGTCTGAAGCGACCTTGCAGGAAGTACGTGAACAATATGAACATGAGTTGTGTCCAGAGGAAAAGATGAGAAGCGCGCAAAGTTCCACGTTAAGGCGGGCGAAATGAGGGGAAGAGATGTTAAAGGTAGAATGTAGCATCGGGGGAGGGGGGAAGGAACTGGTGGGTGGCCATCACAATGAAGAACTGGAAAAGTTGGTAAGGTTCTAAGTGACGAAATGAATGATCACAGTTCGGTGGATGAGATGACATTTTTGGAGATGAATCTCACTACTTATAATTGTTGGTAAGTAGCACAAGGCTTTAGGTATAAAAAAGTAGAGTTGTAAGCGTGAGATAGATGGAGTAGGAAAACGATTAGGAATTAGTGTAATGATGCGTGTTATCCTATGGATAGGCTCTTACTAGGTATGATCAACCAGGTTGAATAATCCTAAGGTGTAGTAAATGGCATTTTGTGTTTTTGGATGGTTTTAGACAGTGGGTAACACTTTCAGTGTGAGTAATGTATGTTTGGCAAGGTTTTTTAAGTCGATTTTTTCGAATGCTTTTATGTAATATGTAATATTGTAAAGGCTGTTTCAATACTAATCGTGTTTTGTAATGGATGATGATGTGATGGTCAGTCATTCTGTTGATTGAGAGAGTTGGAATTCTATATGACGAAATATCTTTTAGTACTTTCTCTTTCCCTATCCCTTGAATGTGTTGGAAAGAGCTAGATTTGAAGGGGGAATGTTTTCAACAAATGGATGGCGTGAATATGGACGATTGGTAGCTGATATTTACATGTAATTTATTGAAGGCTTGGCTGGTAATCTCATTCGTAAAGTTAACCTTTCTCAATGGATATGTTGGTGGTGTAATTGTGATATGTGACATATTTAGTGGAGAGACTTAGCCGCCTGTCGTTGTTGGATATTTACTCCTAAGGGTTTAATAAAACGGCTGATATACGCGAAACGTACTTGGATAATATGCCTGTTGGAAAGGGTTCAGGGTATGTGAACGGAGGTCGTAGTGGATAGGGAAGGACATGAAAGTACTGACTGAAACACACTACTGGTAAACAGATGTCCATTGAATTTCATAAATCGCTACAGAAGTCAGTCATTGTTGTGTTTTGTATCTAGGAGGTGGGTTTGTGTCACTGTGCCTTACAGGTGGTGGTGTTGGGGGATCTCAGAGTTCTATTGTGCAATAAAGTCTAAGAAAACATGCTGTGCAGTTAGAGGTATCGTAGTTGAGAGGGGAGCGAACAGATGTTGTAAGACAAACCTGAACAGTGTATAGAGGATTGGACCACATCCCACAGGGTTTATCAATTTACATATATCGACGCACATATATAAGGATGAGTAGTGGAGATATGCATTTGAGAGTGGAGAAGCATGTACCGAACTGGTTACGAAAGCAGCTGGGTTCACAAAAGGTGATAGGGGCAGGTGGCAGGCAACCATCACATTATTGATGAAGATCACAGGTTTGATATTTAAACAGGGTTAACAATTTGGTACAGAAACTGTCTGTGAAGGTGCTAGCCATTCAAAAAGCTAAAGTCGTTTTGTGTGTTCAAAAGCATCCTAGTTTGAACTGTGTGTCATCGGTGTAGACTCTTGATGTTCAACCATTGGATGAGGATTTCGAACCTCGCCGCACCCACTGATATTCGAATAGCCAGGTATCCTCTTTACCCCTCACACAATAGGTGTGACTTATTGTGTAGTTGATGAATCTGCATGTATTTGTTGAGTTGCACTTAAATTCACTGTGTTGAGGTGTCTATTGGAAACAAAAGCTTAGTACTGAAGTATGGATACCAAGCTGTGTATCGTACACACACATTGACTGAGACGTTGTTGATTTGATTGGTGGTGGTGGTGTGTGTGTGTGTGTGTGAGAGAGAGAGAGATTTCGGAGTGTGTTTTGAAGTCTGTTCAGCAGTAGGTCACTTGGGAGCTGAACTGCTGGTCGAATCGTTGAGTCGAACCACCTGGCTACTCTAGAGAATCATTTTGTGAGCTTGTCAATTGAAGTTTGATGATGAGAGTGATGTTGTGGACTGGATTGTGTTGATTTCTAGTAACCGAAGTAGTTTCATAGAAGATGTGATATTTGTGGATTTTGAAATGCATATGCACCATTGGCTGGGAGCTAGAGTTTCTGAACCCTGGTACCTAGAAACTTACTTTAACCCGTTTGATTTTTTGGGAATAATGTTGACAGGTAGGTGAAAACCACTTTGTAGGATTAATGATATGATATGATATGAGAGGAGAGGAGAGTGTATCCACTTTCGACTATGTTAGAGTGTCTACGAGTTCTTGATTAAGTTTTCTTGTAGTCGCGTGAGGAATGACGAGGTCTAGTGACAGTTTATGATAGTTGAACAAGATGTGGGTTTTGTAATTCAGAAGGCCAATGGATGAATGCTATGGCGTTTGAAACAGTAAATGGTGGATTTGAAGTTATCCGGAAATATTTAGTCAGCTAGGGAATCAGGGGATGAAGGTAGGGCCTGGTTTTACTGCATAGTCGTCCAAGCTGCTACACCTCATGAAGGCGGAAGACACGAGCGTGAAAAGTAGAGAAGTAATAAAGAGTCTCTAACCCACTGATTTCTGTTGTAATAGGAACTTCAACCTGGAAGTCTACATTTCCCTACACGACTCAGATCAACAGTCAGAAACCTCGTGGATTGATGCTATGTTTTAGTGTGGTCGCCCCATACTTTTTTTAGCCTGAACATACTTCAGGCAACATTGTATGGTGCGGCAGTGGGGAGGGGGAGGGGGAGATTGGGCATGTGTAATAGGATGTCCCAATCACGTGAGTCTTTGGAAGTCTACAGCATCATCAAGTGACTTTGCTCTTTACTCCCCAAAACTCTATACGTGATTTCTACGTTACTGACATAGTGACACACGACCTACAGTACGGAGGCAACACCTGAAGCCTTTTGATGTCCTCTAACTTCAACGAAGATGTTTCATAGCTACATAGCTGAGCAGTGCTAACTGTTGCAGATTACTATTGATCCTGATGAGGGATCGGTTATCACGATGGTGAGGAAAATGGCGTCAGTTGGTGTAAGTGAATGAAGCGTTTTTATATCTGTGTAGAGATTTGGCCGATCAGTGACACACCGGAGGTGATCCGACTTGTTGTGTGTAGGTGAAGTGGTCAACGTAGATTCCTGTTGTGTCGAGAAGACTCTGCATCTTGTCAGTGTCGTCAGCAAAGAGGATGACGTTGCCTGCGTACTGTAAGTGAAGAACTACTAAGAGTTGTCGAAATCTTGGTACATTTAGTGGACGAGTCCTGAAGGCGATGAAACACATCTGTTGTTCGTCATTAGCAATTGGATTGAAAACAATAGGCGAATATAGTATGAAGGGATCCTTAAGAGATGAGAATTAGAATTCTAGCAGGGCTTATTGCCTCAGGATTCTTGGTGTAGTTACTTAGATTTTGCAAGTCTCATTCTCACTATGAGTCAGATATTCTTATGTGTTGATATTCTACTTGAATGGAGATTTCAGTTTTGCTATATTGCTCACTACGTTATCGTTGCTTCTTATGTGAATTTCGTTGAGATTTATGAGTTCGCCTGTTGACTTTATGATTCATGGTTTACCTTTACTATTGTAGAGTGTTTTTGACCTATCAATGAATCAGACAGCTAATTTGTCTGTACTTCCACCGACTTTGAACGATTTACGTCTGAAACAAAAGGAACAGCAGCGAGGACGACAACAACAACAACAAGCAGAAGAAGAAGAAGAGCCAGTGAGGAAGTTTGGTGTAGAAGTCGAAAAAGTCGATATTGATATGACAAGAAGAACTACAAAACATGGAGTTGTTAAAGACATAGAGCAAAATATCGTGTTGAATCTCGTTGGAGATAATGAAAATAGGAGAAACAATGGTATAGATGATATAGACCAGCGACGTCTATCTGTTGTATTAGATCGAATGTAAGTTTGATATGATTTGTACTTTTGTTTGTTAACGATGTGTTTTGGCTGAAGCACTCGACTTCTGTACAGTACGTTGGGAACTGGGACCTCACTGAAGCTATTTCGACTTGACCACAACCGTCGCACAGTACATGTGACTGATAGCTGACTGAAAGCTGTGGCGCTGATTGAGTTACCTATTTGTTATCTTTATTGTGTAAGCTTAATGTTATAGTTTGGAGTAATATTGCCATGATCTGTATGAAAAGTCCTAAATCCCTGAAGCCATTGACAATGAATCGTGTTGTACTGAAGTTTGGAGAGGCATGTGAAGTATATGATTTTATTATTATCTATTATTAGTCCCTTGGGTTCCTGATGGAACATAGGGCTTCAGTAGCACGTTTCCAGTGAACTCTGTTCTCTGAAATCTTTTGAACCTGGCTCCACGACAGCCCACAAGCTCTGATTTCCTCGTCGCACGATCTCCTCCATGTCACCGTGACCTCGGACGCCCAACTCGTCGCTTCCCATGGGGGTTCCACTCGAGCAACTGGCCTGACGCGTGATGTCCCCAGTCGGCCTTCTCAGTGTATGCCCACTCCAATCCATCTCCACTTCCTTCCAGTGCATATTTGTTGAGTGATAGGTTCTTGGTTGGTTCGTGACCAGCCAGAGTGAGTTTCTTGTTGCTTATTCTTCCTGGCCATCTGATCTTCAGTAAGGAGTGAGCGTAGGCAGCAGCTGTTGACGAATGTCTGTAGTTTATTGGAAATGCCTTTCGTAACGCGCCAAGTCTCTGAGCCATGCAGAAGCACTGACTTGACGTTGGTGTTGAAAATCCGGATCTTGTTCCACATGCTGAGTGCAGAAGATCTGCACACTGGTTTCAGGGTAATGAACGCCTGTCTTGGTTTTCCGATTCTGACTTTGACATCCTCGTCTCTGCCTGTGCCGCCTGTAGTTGAAACAGTGCTTCCTAGATAGGTGAAGGAGGTTACTTCCTTTAAGTTTCTCACGTTGATGGTGATTGGAGTTTGTTGTTGTTGTTGTTGATGCGGTATCTTCGTCACTTCTGTCTTCTCTATATTCACTTGAAGTCCCGTCTTCGCTGCCTCGCCTCTTCTGACAACTTGTTAGTTTTCACCTGTAGGTCATCAAGTTTGTGTGACATCAGACACAATTCATCACTGGCGAAATCCAAGTCTTCTAGGTTTTTTTCCCTGACCAAGCAGCGTATTCCCCTCTTCTCGCTCCCCACTGTTTGCTGCATGATCCAGTCGACCACTATCAGGTATGTCATGGGAGATAGTAGGCAACCTTGTTTCACTCCTGTCTTCACTTCACTTCAAAAGCATCACTGAGCTGAGCTTCCCATTGTGAATTACTTGGCTGGCATGTGGCGTCTTTATATAGCTGTTGAATGAGGCTGATAAAGTTTTGTGGTATTCCGTAGTATTGAAGCAGTTTCCAAATTACCTCTCGGTCGACGCTGTCAAAGGCCTTTTCAAAGTGGATGAAGTTGAGGTGTAGAGTTGACTGCCACTCTGTAGTCTGTTCTATGATGATGCGTTAGGAGGGTTGCAATTTGGTCCGTATATGATTTGTACTTCCTGAAGCCTGTCTGTTCGGGTCGTAGTTTTGAATCCAGCGCACCGTGTAGTCTCTCCTGGATGGTGCAGCTTAATATTTTGCTTGGGGTGGACAGGAGAGTGATTCTGCGCCAGTTCTTGCATGCACTGAGGTCTCCCTTCTTTGGGAGTTTGACGAGGTAACCCTTCTTCCAATCAGTGGGCAAGTACCTTCCCTTCCTTCCACACCTTATGGAATAGTGGTGTGGTGTGAGCATATCTGCTGTTGTCTCCGCGTCTGTTTTCAGTGCTTCTGGTGGGATCCCATCTGGTCCTGATGCTTCTTTCCCACACTTCAGTAGCTTTATGGCGTTCAGGACTTCCATTTTTGTTGGAGGATTTATGTTCACTTGTTGTTCTGTGCCTGGGCTGTAGATGGTATTTCTGGACGAAGTGCAGGTGGTGGTCGATTTAAGAGCTTCTTGAAGTGGTCGGCCCATTGTTTTCTTTGTTTCTCTTTTTTTCGTGATTAGATTTCCGTCATCATCTTTTATTGGTTTCGTCTGCGTTGATCTCTTGCCAGATAGCAACCTGGTTATTTGATACAATGTTGTCAGGTCTCTCCTAACAACCTGCAGCCTGTTCTGCTTCACTTGCCAGTGTTTCGTAGAAGTGTCTTTTGTCTTTGTGTGCACTTTTGTTCACTTGTTTGTCCAGTGTTTTATACATTGTACTCATTTCCTCTTGTCGTTGAGCATCCTTGCACTGGTTTATCTTCTGCTTCACCATCCTCCTCTCACTGCTCTATCAGCTTCCATGTATCCATTGAGATCCATTCCTTAACTTGCCTCTTCTTCCTTCCTAATACGGTTGTGTAGGTTTCTTTCCACATGGCTTTCAAAGAGTTCCAGTGTTCTTCCACACAGGTTTCTTCAGGGATGTTGCTCGATGTCTCCCATTTTGTCTTGATGGCTGACGTGAAGATGTGCTTTGTAGTTTCATCCTTCAGTTTTTGGGTGTTGAACTTGAACTGTGTTCTGATATCACCAGCTTCTTTCAAGGCTTTCAACTTGATTTTGAAGGTAGATTTCTTGCACTAGATAGTGAGTGGTGTGAACCTACATCTGCTCCTCTTCTTGACCTTGTGTCAAGTAGACTGCGTCTCCACTTTCTTGAGATTGAGATGAAGTCGATCTGATTTTTAGTGTGTCCTGGTGTCTTGTGAAATCCATGTGGCTTTATGGATATCCTTGTGCTTGAACACAGTGCCTCGCCTCCAATCACCAAATCGTTGAATGCACACAAATCTGCAAACAGTTGTGCATTCTCGTTCATTTCGCCGAGCGCTTCTCGACCCATGGTTACTTCTCTTCCTGTGTTGTGTGCTCCCAGTTTGGCATTCATGTCGCCCATTAGAATTTTGATATGGCCAATATATATATATATATATATATATATATATATATATTTGACGTTGCAATGCACCTTGTGTTGCTTGAGTGCCTTTTGGACTTCACGAGGAATTGGGGGAGTATGTAAGGGCGGAATCTGAAGGTTATATGAAGTGACTACAAAGATATATGACTTGGGATATGAACGGAGACTGGATTGGTATGGTCATGTTGAGTGTAGAACAAGGAAATGTGTAGAACTGAACAAAGTGTCTCTCTTTGTGGTCCACACCATAGTTCCTTTATTTATTATGCGTATCATTACAGAGTGCAGCAGTATTACTTTTTCATCATGGTGATCACGCATCTTTCTAGTCGAGTTTCTACATTTTCTACTGTTTTCCGTTGTTCGATTATAAATTGGTAGTGAGATTCCTCAGGTAACCGGAATTGATGTTGTGTCTCATGTCTTAGGTGTTTGAGTTATGGAACGTGCTAGGGGTGATGGTGATGTGTCTGACCTATAGTTTATTTATTGTTCTAGCATTGTTGAAAATATGCATAAGTTGCTTCATAAGTTATTGGAATTAGTTTCGGGTATATTCATCTTCGTCTATTTGTACCGTCGCATCTTATGAACTTTTGTCAACTTTTCTCCCATCCATTTTGTATGCACCTTTACTTTGAATTCTGTTGTAAAGTATGTTGATTTGAGCCTATGTAGTTGTATGTTCTACATTCTACGTTGATTTGTTCATCTCACTGGATAAAAGTTGCTTTTTCTCTCAAAATGCTATAATAACTTCACCCAGAGATGTTTATACTCGTCGTGTGATTTGGTGATTAAGTATGGGGGTTTGATGGGGGTGCCAAGTCAGTAAATTGTGAAAATGAATCCTGACTCCAAATTGATGGTATGAAGTTAATTTAGTCATTATGTAGGTTATCGTTGGAATGCGGTTGGTAGTGTTGCGTTTTCATCATCTTGTGTATAAATAAGATTTCAAGTTAAAGGTTGCGAGAATTACGTTAGAGGATAGTAGGTGATCGGCTTCAGTCATCTTGCTAGGACAGTACTGACGCTGTTTCACACACCACAGGGATGTAATTCCAACCTTTTTATGTTCATTGGATCACTGCTGATGAGTGAGATTTGTATGGATCCTTTCTAACATGAATCATGGTATCTTTTGTGGTATTAAACTTGACTTTGTCTAGACATGACGAAAATCAGCCTCCGTATGATGATGGTAAGAGCGTACGCAAATCAAAAAATGATGATTGCAGATTTCGTCGTTTGTATTTACATGATTGTGATTTGGATAATGAGAATAAGAAGAATAATAAGCTGCTTGGTTCTGTGAAGAGTCGAATTGAATCTTCAAAGGATACGCGTATACCTTCGATTGACGACAATAAGATCAATGTGAATCGACCACTTGCTGAGGCTACCTCCAACAGGAGAACAGTATCCAGTCGATCACGAGAACGAAGCTGATCCACATTTGGCTGGATGCAAACTGTTGACTTGGTGTTTTTTTGTTTGAAAAGAGAAATTTATTTTCGCACAAAATGATTTGCCTGTATGGTGATTTCTGTAAGTTTGAAGACAATTTTGTTGCTCACAGAGACGTCTGTTTTTGTTTTGAATAATATTCAAGTAGCTAGTGATGCTGAGATTAACTTTGGGTTTATTTTAAACGCAGACTGTCGAAATTAGATTGTTTCTTGAAGAATATTATTCCTAATTGTGTTCCCAATGAGAACTGGTATGAGATTTTCAGTTGTGCTACTATGCTTTTTACCGATAGGAAAGATAGATAGATAGACAGACAGACAGAATGCATGTAGAACCTCGGACGGACACACACATCAGTGCATCATCTCAAGTTGTTACTGTTTGCAATGGGATAGAAAGAAGAAGTGGATAGAAAAGGAGTAGATAGTGTTGTGTATGAGAGAATAAACAATTTGAAGATGATGGTGAGTGCAAGTATTCAATCTTTAGTAGATGTCGAAGTGGGAAACATGTACGCCATTGTTACTGATCTCTGTCGTCTCGAGAAATCGAGCTGACAATCTACATCTCCCCACACGACTAAGACCAATGGTCAGAGACTTCATCGGTCGGTGTTATGTTTTGGTCTGGCCACTTTGGATCCTCTTCGAACCTAATCCTCCAGCCTCGCTTAACATGAGACGTCGAGGTAGACGGTGATTAGGTGTGGGGACTACATGTCGAAGCCATGTGAGACGACTAGGGTTCATAACGTCATCAGTGGATTTGCATAGTATCGATTGGCTGACCTGATCGTTGCTCACACATTGAATCCATCTCTCGTGATCAGTGCTACGAAGACGTCTGTGATTGGAACGCTGTAACCGCTTCACATAGTCGTCTACTTCCAACGTCTATATCTCACGAACGAATTGCAGTGCATTATGTTCGTCGTTTGATAGATAGTCGGCTGTCTGACGAGTTGGCGCCACAGATGATGCAAGTTGGCGGATGCGAAATGGATGAGCTTCAGTATCCGAGATGACATTTTGTCAGCAACCATCTGTAATTGAAGTGGTCGACACATTCGACGACTTCACTACCTTTTGTGATGGGAAAGTGGCAATGATTGTGTTTTGTGCTTAATTTGTTCCCGCTTATATTGTATGTATGTAATAGATAGATTGGAATCAGTATTCAACGTAAGCGATGGACAGTGCTGTCATCTTCTGTGTAACTTAATGAAGTTTGGGGATTCCATCGAGTAGCTATTATACCTAGACGCATGAATAATCATGTTCTTATTCATCTTCCGAGTCAATTGCTCCATGTGTTCTTCTGTACTTAACCAACTAACTGGTTTTGTGAATGAGAGTAGATCATTCTTTTCTGGGTGATGATGATGATGAAGGTGGGATGAAAATGTGGGCCGCTGCAGTTCCAGTGCTCTCTACTAACTGAGCTATGGGGCCTGGCTGCCTACAGATAAGCCGGAGGTGAATGTAAGCTGAAGTAGAATTAAGTTGAAGGTATCCGGAGTTCAGTTGTGGCTGTAATCCACGAAGTGGTTGATTGTTGATTTGATTGTAATTTAGGAAGAGTGTATAGTCAGTCTGAGTAGGGTCTTGAATATGATAACAATCGGTGATCGGGAGAATCGTTGTGCTATGGCTAGTAATGGATGATGATTATACGTTTACTTACTTCAATATTTTTGTCTTTTTTCCTAACATGTTTAAGCATTCTGGTGTATTATGTAACAAGTTGTACTGATACAGTTGCGCATGAGTTTCTAGGTTCATATGTGATGTGGTTATGTAGTAGGTAAAAGTAAATCTACCAAGAATCTTTGTGTTTTACTAACTACTCACTCGAGAATTTATGTAGGAAGTGCTAGTGGACGTAGAATGTAACAAATGAGTTAGGCGTTTCCTGATGAGTAAAGTGATGATGTGTTAGTTTCATAATGAAGTTGTGACCGAATTGTGTGTATTCAGATGAGTTGGTGAAAATAATTTTCAAGGTTTGTTAATGTGATGTTAATGTTGGATAGTGGGGAGGAGTGGAATGGAGGATGCGTGTTTGGTCTCATTTGAGTGTGACTGGTCAACCGGATTCACCTGCCGGTTCACAGTTAGTGATGTTCTTGTCACTAAGACGTGAGCGTGGGAGCGATGACTTGAAACGCCAGATCGTTATCCACTACACCACTGAGTTACGATAGGCATTTCTTGTGTGATGTGTATAGTTTTAGTATTGTTACATCTATTATTCCGTGGTTGATTGTACCGAATTGATCGGTCTCTATGGACATACTGGTTGGTGTGCAGATGAGAAGAGAGTCTTAGTGGTAGCAACATCGTTCGCTGGGAGGGAGGGAGGGAGGGAGGGAGATACATCGAGCTTGACGAGTGGCAAATTGGACAATCGGCGCGTCGATCTGGATTCCACTGCTAGGTACTATCCATGAATAATACTGAAATTTTAAGACAGGGGATGTTGAGAGATCGGCACAGGAACTCACATACAATGGTGACCGATCAATTCGGTGGCATGAACGATGGGATAATGGAAGTAACAAGGTTTGTGGATGTCGTCAGTTGGTAGATAAGATTGGATGTGATGGAGCGGGGGAAATATGGCGAATCGAAATGCGCTGCAGTAGCAAACTTGTGTTGCGTAAAAATTCGCTTGGTAGTAGACGATGAACACACACCTCTTGTGTGTGTGTGTGTGCTAGGTCTAGTGACACAACCCTGGTTGCCGGTGAAACCTGCATAGGTGGAGCGGAGTACGAACCTGCTTTTTTGTTTGTAAACATAATTTTCATGTAGAGATTTATTGAGATGTCTTAGTATTGCTGAAATTTTTCATATGACATTGTTTGTTTCCATAGGATTTGAATTTGAATGAAAATCGACTGGTGTCATACAGAGTTTTCTTTATGTCAAATATTTGTGTCCTATGCTTGTAAATACAACAACTCACTGACTGACACATCTGCTTGCCTCATGTTGAATTGATTCCACATTGATGTAGGGGGACTTCATGTGTATACTGAACAGCTGTGTTACCAGTAATTGATGTGTGGTAATAAAGCTGACAATTGAGTTGTTAAGACATGAAGCTGAGTGTTTGTGACAATTGTACATTTGCTTTTGCTTCCTTGAATTGTAATATCACCATTGATTTCATTACTTGTCCCCTTGTTTTGCTTTCATCATCTCAGTGTAAAAGCTTCTTTTCTTATTTATTTTATTTATTTAATTGAACTAAATGACAATATGTGTTATTTCTGTGTTCAGTATCATACATGCACACGTGCAGATTATAATCTGTGAGTGTTATCTGCCTACGGTGTTCATTACAACCTGGATAGTGTATATTCCATGTCTCGCCTTTTTTTCCTACATAAATGTGTATCGCAGACCAAGTAAACCAACAGTGTCAGGTAATTGAACTTGGAGGTTTTCTAGGGATTTCAGTATTCATCGCAGACTCACATCAGTTGGGGGTGATGGTGGTGGGGTGGTCGGGGGAGTATTGAGAACGACGGCATCGGATGGAGATTAAACGTGATATCGTGAGCTGTGACAGAAGTAGGAAACTGTGAACGATTGAATTCTGATGTGCTGGCTGTGGGACCAGAAGGTTTTCGGTTCGACTTCCGGTGGGTTTGCACTGATAAGGAGGTGACAAGTGTCCAGTTCTCACAAAGTCTGACTGATTTCAGTCTGTGGTGAATACAACCTTATTCAGTGATGAGAGAGTTTTACCAGTTTTTGCTTAGAAATTGGTGTAAAAGATTCTTATGATTCAACTTTTGCCGTCGTTTACACTGTAGACGTTTATTCATTCGTTGATTCCATGTTGTGCTACTATAATAACTGGGTTCATTAGATGATTATATTGTACTCAGCCATGTTTCCTCCTATTAGTTTGATGCCTGATTGCCTTTATTGCTATCACAATATTCTACCTTATTGAAATTCTATCTCATTTTTGGCGATTACAGTGGAGTCTGACTTTTTATTTCTTGACTTTGTGTTAGTGTACTTGTGTAAATCGTTGTAGGTGTTCACGTATTTGATGATGTCGCATACAGAAAGAAACCGAATGTTTGCAACTGTTTTCCACACTTGAAGTATGTAGTAATTGCTGAAATGCCTGGGTGTGGATGTCTAACGACGGTTGAAGGAGGATTGATATTAGTAGGATGATGAGTGTGAGGCCCAACCAACGTTGGCGGGTTAAGGCGTGGGCCGTAGGAGTAGATGGCCTGTTGTGTACACCATCCGCTTGTATATGCTTCAAATTAAAAGTCACGCTTATAGGGGAACAGTGGTGTTGCTTAACTTCTTCAACTAGGAGTTTAACTTTCCCCGGTTGCTGCGTTATTTGGCAATTCGACGGATACCGTCTATTGGTTTGAAGTATTTCAGCTTAAGTGAGGCTATCAACTTTAGAAAGATATCTGATGGTTCAAGATGTGGATTGGGAATCATTGATCACTGATTTTACAAGTTGTTATCGACTTGGTTGTGACTGTGGTGTGTTATATTTTTGGTAGGTCTTGTTAAAATAAGGTGATTCGATGCTGATATTAGAGTTATAATATCGAAGGTAAGAAGGTAAGATAATATGGAAGGGAAAAGAGTTGGTTTTCTTACTTTCCATTTTCTAATTGATTTATAACGAATACAATGTACGTTGAAGTAAGTAAGTAAGTAATAATAATTTACCTGAAAGCGACATGTAACTCTGTCGACCATGAGATGTTGTGACCGTGAGGAGATTATCGTGCAAGTATATAATTCATGTCAAAGCTTGCTGCTTGAACTGACGCAGTCGTGTAAGAGCTTATGGAGAATTATCATGTGGATTGACGACAATTAGTGGTGTTGACCAGCGATGCCCATTGTCATGGTGCCTATTCAGATTCCTTATAGGTATACTATTGGACATAAACGTAGGTAGTGCGACTACTTCACGGGAATTGATCTACTCGCTGTAGGTTATCTGGTTGACTTGAACTATGCGGAAGATATTATGCTAGTAATTGAAAGAGCTGACAGAATGCAGGTTCTTCTGAAATGAACGGCTTAAGCGTAAATCTGAGTATGTTTGGGATGCATCTCACTGGTACCGAACCAGTCAAATGTAAGATGATACTCCAGGGTAGGGAGTGAAGTGGTGGAATGTATCAACTACTTCACTTACTTGGTGGGGAGTTGGATCAACCCTAGCAAGTTAGTTGCTGATGAAAGACAGTGTACTGCGCTGCAGTTCATTCAGTTATGTTATACGGCTGTGAAGCATGGCAGCTAAAAGTAGATGTAAAGTGGTTACAGGGTTTCGACTATAGGTGTCTTCATAGCGTTGCTCGCGTTTTGTGGAATCACCGTGTGAGAAACTTTGAGGTCTCGCGAGGGTTACTAGGCAAACGGTTCCGCCGGATGAGTCACAAATAGAAGGGAATGCACGTAGCGGATTCCTCTGCTAGCCACAAGGAAGTAAATTACCATAATGAATATTCAGACAATATCAAGGGCACCGCTTAGGAGCCCATATGCCATCAGAGGTCGAACAATTCGATCGAGTATAATAACAGAATGACAAGTACATGAACAAATAGTTATAACTAATATCCGTTGTAGAAGAAGCGACTATGATGCCTCAGTGGATGACGCTTTGGTGTTTGAAGCGATGGGTAAGGGGTAAGAGCCTCAATGGGGACAACACTCACTAGGATGTTGATGGACAAAATGAGCGTCCGACCTCGCACATAAGTGCATCGACTCAATTGCCACACTTCGTAGTACACAAAGAACAGGTGGATAGAAAAGGAGTGATATCACAGTAGACAAGATTGTGTGCGGGAGTAACCAATCTGATGATAAGGGTTGGGTCGAATATTCAAGCTTTAGGAGATGTCAAGGAGTGAGTACATCCGCACCATTGTGACCGATTTTCAGCCATGTCACTAAGATTTCCCAACCACTGGTTTTTTTCGACATGGCGACCCCAACCAAGCAATTTACATCTCTGAGCACAACTTAGAGTGACAGTCGCGGACTCCGTCAACTGATGCTAGGTCTTCATCTGGCCACTTTGAACCCTCTTTCAACCTAATCCAACTTCTAGCATGGGGCGTTGACGTACGCAGTATATGTCCAGGCCATCTGAATCGACTAAGGTTCAAAATCTCGTAAATCGACTTGCCTAGTGCTGTTCGCCTGGGCACGCGTCACTAGGGTGGAGGTACATTTAGCGGAGGAGTATCGAATAGAAAAAAACGTGCGTCGTTGGTTCCACTTTTGGCCACTACCAAGTCAAATATAAATAATCAGCATTATCCGTCTTGGTGAAACTTGATTAGATCTTGCCTTGCGAACTTGTATGAGTACGGTATCCTTCTAGTCATGTGAAAGTATGTATTTACTGAATTGCAGTTTTGATATGGCAATTGCCGGGCAAGCTTTTTGAACGGCCTTGAGCATAGTACACCTACTTTCGTCGATTTCCTTATATGTGAATTATTTAAAGTCGTAAATATCTTGTTGCTGTCGATGTTCACAGAGTTTATTCTGCTGGTAGTCAGTAGTTCTACTGTTAAAGTGTTGTCCGCAGGGGGTTCTTAAGTGTGACATCTGTTTGGCTTGGAGTATTCAGATGATATTGTCCTGCTAAGTGAAGAGGCCGACGAAATGTTGAAATCTTAGTAAGTCTGGCATGCGTTTCGCATCTGTCAAATGTTAGATGATGCTCCAGAACCAGTATGCAAATACTTCCCGCCTAGGGATAGGGAGTGGGTTAGTTGAGTGCGTCAACCACTTCACTTACTCAGAGTGTCCGATCAACGTGGACGGATAGGTTGCTGACGAAATCTCAGCTTGCATACACTATGCCCCATAGGCTTTTGCCAACCTGCGTCATCTCTGACACCGAATGACAAGATATCTGACTTCCTGTTAGTGGATGAGCATACCGTGATGTATTTCATCCTGTCCTGCTATACAAGTACTAGATGTAGAAGATATGAAGCGATTAAAGGATTTTGGTCATAAGTGTCTTCATGGTACTGCTTGCTCACAGTAGAAGTAGCATGTTACAGTTGTCGAGGTCAGGCGAAGGGTACTAGGGAAGGAAGGCAATTCCATTGATGAGGTTGTGTACCTTCAGTGACTGAGATGACGAGCATGTGCTATGTAGGCTGATCTACTGCCTCACTCGACGTGCCATGCTAGGGGAAGTTGGATTAGATTGGAAGAGAGTTCAGGGTGGCGAGACTAAGACTTGGCACGTGCGATAAAGTCCACGACTGTTTGTTTAAGTTGTGTTCGTAAAAGTAGATTGCTTGGTTGAGGTTGCCATGTCGAAAAAAAATCAGTGGTTGGGAAATCCTAGTGACAAGGCTGAAAATCGGTCACAGTGGTGCAGATGTACTCACTCCTTGACATCTCCTAAAGCTTGAATATTCGACCAAATCTTTAGCATCAGATTGGTTATTCTGTCACACAATCGTGTCCACTCTAACATCACTCTTTTTCTATCGATTTATCGTTTGTATACTGGTGTGAAGTGTGGCATCTAGAAGCGAGATTCTGCGTTTATTTTTTCTGTCATACACTAATTAACTTTTTCTGCAACCAGATAGTAGAAGAAATGACTACTGTTAATTCAGTCAAGTTATATTACATTCAACTTTATATAATTTCTGGTAGTCTTTATGAGAGAGAAGACAGGAAGTTACACATCCTAGGACACATGCTACCCAGTAGGAAAAAGTCATCGCGGAATGGCAGCACAAACGAGTAACATTCTGAAATTGATCATGATGTCTTTGAATACCGAACTCGGAGTTTACATTTCAGTAGGAACAGAATACATCGAAACTTGATAGAAAGGTTTGGTGTAGACGGATACTTAAGAGTACCGCTGTGTGCTTCAGTCATCCTCCTTTATAGCTGAAGGATAATTGTTAATTTTTATTCGACATTCGATGTAAGATTGGTCAGTTTGAATGATCAGGTTTAAATAGCGTGTCTACAAGAAGTAGATAACTGATCTGATCCCAAGAACTTACATGTGATTAGATCTGGAACCATTGACTGGGTGGCAATGTGCGCACCATGGGAACCTAACAGTTCCTCAAGCGGTATTAAATGCACACTACTAAAAAGTTCTAAAAGTAGAATCAAACAGCTATCGAGCTCTCCCACATTTTTTTGTGTGAAAGCAGTTTTGTAAGTATAATGAAGAGAAAGGAATGAATGTGCTTATTAGAATTCGAACTCATCATTTTTTTAAACGGAAAGTATAGTATTTTATTTTACATAAAACATTATTCACCATACAGGGGACAGACTAATAGTTTCTTCTTACACATAATACACTGTGGGCATTTTTACCTTAAAAGTGCTTTCAGCTGAGGAGTCTATTAAATAATGAAACCTAAGTTTTTATCCACTCCTATTTTTCTTTAAAAAGAAAGGGATATATAAAACTGTGAATTCAGTATTAAAATTGAGTTCTGTGCTATAATAACAGACAAAAGATTAGAAAATAAGTAATATTTACATTAGCAGTAGATGATGTTCGAATTACACAGTTGGTCATAATTTGTCGAAATCAACTTCTGGCTTTCATTCAAATAATCTCCAGAGAATTTATCATCACAAGAATCTGTAATAGAATGATTGAAACATGAATGAGTTTATGATACCATATGAATACCAGCAACACTGAAGAAATTGTAATGCATTTTATTCTCCAAGATTAGAAATACTATTTTGCTGATATATTGTTCAACGTGTATTATCGTGTTACTGATTGAACTAAATTGGTTGGTCTCGATATTTCCTGATGTTCTAACTGATCAGTTATCAAGTTCCATTCTTAATGGGAATAACATTGTTCACTGGGAGGCGGATATATCTAGCTGACGAATCAGAACTAGGACGAAATTCACATCAAGCTTGGTTCCACTGCTAGCCACAATCTACCAATAACTTATTTCACTAATATTTAGAGATGGGAGTCATCGTTATCAAGATCAACACAGGACAAGCCATTATGACATAACGGTCCAATCCGCCAAACCCCATCTCACATCAGCACATCAAGTAACAAGACGATATAAAGGAAGATGAAAAAGAAAAGGAAAATCGGTCAAAAGAAGTAGAAAATATTAAAGAAGACAAAGTAGGAATGAGGAAATAATGAGATTAAGTATAGCAGTTAAGACGAGGATAGTGTGCATACGTCTGCGGCATATTACCTACAGTCTTCAACAACCAGTAATTTCTTTTGTTCGGCCGATCCCAAACGTCCAGTCTGCATCGCCCTACATGATTCAAACCAACAGTCAACAACTTCATGCATTGATGCCATGTTTTACTCTGGCCAGTCTGTGTCTTTTTCCAGCCTGAACCTACTTCGGCCAACATTAAGAGAGGAGGTAGACGGTGGTTAGGCATACGTAATACATGTCCCAGCCAACCATCTCAGTCGATGAACGGTCACAACCTCAACACCTCTCTTACCTCTCCTGCTTAAATCTCTACACCTGACTTCTGCGTTACTCACATGGTGACACGACGAAACACAGCCTATGCCACGAAGGCAGCCGTAGTCAAACATGTGAAATCTTCTCATGCCTTCTGCATTTAATGGCCATGTTTCACTGCAACAAAGTACATTCGACCCTTCATGGACAATTTTATATCATGGCGGCGCCATAGATGGCGTAAGTTGTCAAAAGCATATGTTACAGAAATGGGAGTTAGTGATTGACTTAATAGTGTTATCTGTACACTGTTCTTTATGTTTAGATGCTTCTTACTACATTCAAATGCGCAGTATTATCTCAACAGTCTTTGCTGTACCCTAATCTCATTCTCTCCAGTTTTGTTTTGTAATTATGCCCTTAGGTTGAGTAATTGTCTCGTGTTGCTGTTATTGAAATCGGATAATTAATCGGTGTCATTGTCAAACTTCAAGAAATAACCAGTCAGTGTTAATACTTAATTCAGTCTTGATCGATGCTCCTAGTGACAAAGTTAGCTATTTGAGCAAGATAAACGGATTTTCTACTTTTTGTCTCCAAGCGAAATACAAGGACAATGATTACCCTAAAGGAGAAATATTTAGCAAAAAAATGTTTCTGATCACTGCACACCGTTTGAATTGTTTTTTACAGGCCATTAAATGCAGAAGGCATGAGAAGATTTCACATGTTTGACTACGGCTGCCTTCGTGGCATAGGCTGTGTTTCGTCGTGTCACCATGTGAGTAACGCAGAAGTCAGGTGTAGAGATTTAAGCAGGAGAGGTAAGAGAGGTGTTGAGGTTGTGACCGTTCATCGACTGAGATGGTTGGCTGGGACATGTATTACGTATGCCTAACCACCGTCTACCTCCTCTCTTAATGTTGGCCGAAGTAGGTTCAGGCTGGAAAAAGACACAGACTGGCCAGAGTAAAACATGGCATCAATGCATGAAGTTGTTGACTGTTGGTTTGAATCATGTAGGGCGATGCAGACTGGACGTTTGGGATCGGCCGAACAAAAGAAATTACTGGTTGTTGAAGACTGTAGGTAATATGCCGCAGACGTATGCACACTATCCTCGTCTTAACTGCTATACTTAATCTCATTATTTCCTCATTCCTACTTTGTCTTCTTTAATATTTTCTACTTCTTTTGACCGATTTTCCTTTTCTTTTTCATCTTCCTTTATATCGTCTTGTTACTTGATGTGCTGATATGAGATGTCACAACTTGGCACCGTTATGCAGTAATGTCTAGTTCTATGTTGATCTTAATGATGACTTAACTAATTAGGAAATTTAGAACTAAGCAGTTCAAACCTCTCCTAATTTCTTCTGGTCCAATCAATTGAGTCACTTCATTCGACACAATGAGCTAGATGTGACTGACTGTTAAACGCATTTAATTCAAGCCTTAATCATCATTCAGTTATAAGGGTCTCGAGAAAACTCATTTCGACATCATGTTTATTTTTCATTTAACATTAATTCGAATAAATACTTATCTTGCTTCAGAGTGATGTTTTGTTGTGCATACAGTGGATGAATACGTAATTTCGTAAACAGTAGCCTGAATAAAGATTAAGCATAAACTTACTGTTTATCTTTCATGTTTTCTTTGGTCATACGAATTTCCATATTACGTTCCATAGGAAGGTAGTGGACAGTATTAAACAACCATGAACAGTAGATGGTCGTGAGGCAGTTCCCTAAATTAGAAGTCATAACATACCTTGTTAGATTGAAATGACAAAGGTTATGATGTTTTTTTAAACTGGAAAACATTAAAAATCTCTACGGATGTTTAATTTAATCTTATGAAATGTAAGACAATCGAAACCTTGGATTTCAAAATGTGGACTAGAACAGAGAAGAATAATCCGAGAAAATGCATTAAACTATGAAGAACAAAAATAATATCAGTAAAACGATATTTTAATCTATAGTTTTCTTAATTATCTTTTCACCATCGGAAAGTTGAGACCCTGAAGTTAGAACTTCAAATGTCAGTAACTCAAATAAGGGTTCCTCTAAGATAACAGTTAAAACACTGTGTACAGCAGTCACACATATAATTCATTTTCACTGACATATCTTTCAGTTGAACCAGTTAGTTGTTCTGGACTTCCTGAGGTACGTAAGCAGGATCTGATTATGATCATCCACTTGACTTTACCTGGGAAAATGCGATGGATATTCAAAATTCACTTTACAAGTTTAAGAGGTACGTGAGTGTGGAAATAGTATTGTGTTCTTGAGCGGGAAACACAGATATTTTTGACTGAGATACCAATCAACAGACGTCTGCGTGCCGTTTTACTGAATGGGTCTGTAAAAACCAGGAAAAAAATTAGGGGGACTAGCCGACACCCATTCGTAATCTTAACCTACGGACCAAGCGACTGCATTTTAGATGATACAAAGAAGAAACTGTATCAGAAGCTCTCAGTTCACTAACAGAAAGTGAAACATTTAAATATAGTCAAAACAGAAGGGGAGCTGAGTCAGTCGTAAAAATACACTAGGAACATCCACAGAAAATGCCTATGTTCCATCACAACTTTGTCCTAGCAATCACTTGTTTCTGACTAGCACTAACTTCAAGCATAAAGAAAGAAACCGTTTCACTCAACGTTCGTTGACATAAAGCTAACTATGGACGCAGATAAATGGCATTGCTGTAAGCCATCGTTAGAGGACCGTCGATCTTTCTGGAGTACCTGTTTGAAATCTGATCGTACGTTAGTACATGAGATGAAGCCAGCGGGTTTTTGATTGGTAGATGAGAAAGTCAAGTTTATATTGATGGAAAGGGTAGGAAATTTATAAGAAGAGTAATGGAAGTACTAAGTGGTGCACGAGAATCAGAGGTAGTCCCGTCAGACGTGTCTACTTCGCTCATCGTCCCAGTCAACTAAAATGGAGAGACGTTTTTCTGTGACAACCATAGGCGAATTCGTTTGACTAATATCATGTCCAAGATCCCAGGGTCTATCGTTATCTGACGTCAAGGTTGAGTCCAAGAATAGAAATCTCGAGAAAACCAGCTAAGTATTAGCCATGGACGAGGGTGTATCGATCAGATCTTCATTCCCCGACTGGTTCTAGAACACAGGCATACTTACCGGCCAATGGTCGGCATGTGCCACATTTCTTGGCCTGTAGGCGGTATTTGGCTCAGTAGACTGTAAGGTATTGTGGCAGGGTTTGACTGCGAAGGGAGTGTCGAACAAGTATTTAAGGCTAATCAAAGCCCTCTACTCAAACTCATACAGCCATGTAAGAGCTTAGGAAGAGTTGTCATCTGAAATGACTACAATCAGTGGTATTGACCAGAGATGCAGGCTCTAATCGTTCCTATTTACTTTGATTATAAATATACTAATTCACATAACCCAAGGCACCTCTGATTTCAAGGGTGCTGATCTATTCTATGGAGATGTAGACTACGTTTCTGGGGTTCACGAGATGATAGGAGTCAGTCATGTTAGAACGTTAACCTGTTTGAATGACGCTAGTGTATTTACTCTCAGTGGTTTTCTAAAGCCTGGACATTTTCGCTAGTCTTGATTTTCATATTCCTCCCCTTTATACAATTTTATCTAATTTGATATGAGTCTTTTGTTTCTATTTATTCTTTGCTACTGTATTGTTGTAACTCGGACAGATGTACTTCTCATAAGGTTATACGTCTTTTCTTTCTGTGTGTTTCCAAGCACATCACGCATCCCATTTTCGCAAACTGATGACACAAGTTTATGGAATGCTATGTTAAAACCAATGGTAGATTGACACACACTTTATCGTTGTGTGATGGGAGCGTTTTCAGTCGTAGGTGGTAAAATCCGCCTAGATGCGGAGAATTTAATCTGCACTGACTTCAGAGAGCTTTGAACCTCAGATTTATCAGATTCATGACACATATGTGACCTGACAAATACTTGTTACATGTATGAGGTAAACTTCTTTTATCCACACTTCTCCTTGGTAGCGATTGAGTAAACGATATGCATACGGTTTATTTCACGTTCAGTTGATCTTTTTGTTAATAATAAATCAACCACTAAGAGTATATTTTTTTGACTGGTCATATGACGTACTACATCTATAAATAGTGCAATCTTCGAAATACTAATGAGCAAATAATGGTAAGGAATGAGAGGATTTGTAACCCCTGCATAAACGTTACCTCTATAACATAGACAGCAGTGTCATGAAAATGCGGAAAATACTGCAGTACTTCAAAGTGACCTACGTAATTTATCATCAAATGAGAATGCATGAGACTTTGGTACCAAATACGAGTTTTTTCTGACGCGACCTGACTGAAAATGCAAGGAAAGCTTATCAACAAGTATGTATTCATCCGGGCTCCTAGCTATTAAAAGTGGAGTTATTGGAAATAATTCAGTTCACGGATTTAATCTTCCTATCATGTACACTTTAGGAACCAACTTCCAATTTTATTGAATTGTAGAGTATAGCATCACATAACCAAAATTCAAAAGCTTAAAACCCTACTAACTTGCTGAGCATCTTTATATGGAGCTCATTGAATAAAAATAAATATCCCTAGGAAATGAAGTTAAAATTTCACTTGAACATGCAGATGAAACCATTTCTCAAACGCACACAGCATTCCAACTCCGTCAGATTGTGGAAGCATGTATGGAGCACCACAAAACATTCTTAGTGGAAACAGTGAGTTTTAATTATAGCACTACTGAGCGTTAAATAACTTCTGTCTGCTGCTATTAGGGGCAGACTTTTATACCTTTCCTCTGTCGTCTAAACTTCTTTAGAATAAGAGAAAATAGATAAATCTTGATTTATGAAGTGAGCACTATACAGTTAAATAATGTGTATGTATAATAAATATAGAGTTGTGCATTTTCACAAGTAGATAGTAATATATATATATATATATATATATATATATATATATATATATATATATATATATATATATATCACAATGTATCCTATTACAAACTGATTCAGTGCCTAAACAACCTAGATCTGAGCAATTCATGAACGTGAACTTTCAAAACACCTGAACGTTAATTGTAACTAAGTAAATACGGAAGTCAATTCTATGTTTTGAGTTACAGAGGTTTTCTAAGGTAATTTTAATGTTAAGGTTAACTTTGTAACTCACAGGCACGTAGTAATTGCACCTATCGGTATTGCAGCAATAAGAACATATCCAGTCTCTCGTTTTTGATCTGGAACAATGCTGTGATGTGACTGATGATGTCATTTCACAACCTGATGTTGTTGTACAGCCCTTTGTAACAAATGCTCTTCTCTCAGCTAGCACTGTCCAGAAAGGTGGAGCTAAAGTATTAGAGTCTAGACATTTGTTTACTTCGATACTGCACAATCGACTGGCAGGTATCTTGTGAAGGATCGCAGGTTTGAACTGTTCTAATGCATTCATTCCAGTTCCCTTCTACATTAGTGCAAACATAGCACTCAAGAGCTATCAAGGTTAAGGTGGTAATTATGTATATATGAAATTTCAAACCTAATTTAAAAGGAATACCTAGAACTAAGGTAAAAATCTCCAGCAGCATTTCCTCCTTATTCGAAAAAGAGCTGTTTTCTGTAAATGTCTAAACATATTCCTCCAATATTCAATGCATTTTACGGGTGTGAAGGGAACGTACATTTTTTGAACTGTCACACGCATACCTTAGAGCCGGGTTCTCTTTATTTGGCTTAACTCCTTCAGTTTCTGCAAAAGCCCTTTCTGCTCACTTGTTCTTTTAGTATCCAGTATTGATAGTGCGAGCGTAAAAAACTGATACATTTTGATCTCTCGCGTCTAGTTCTTAGGGCTTTGTTCGAGTTGTCCGGTTCACTGCTGCAGTGGACGAGGAAGTCCCCCCTGCTTTCTTGCTTTCGGCCCCAGTGAGGTGGATGTTTAGTGGGTTAGTATATTGTAATCTGTAGAGTGATTGGGGAGCTACGGGTTGCTGGAGTGGTTAGGGGATTGTCCTGACTCCTGTCAGTGTGGGTACCTGAAGGGGAATGGTAAGTTGGTGGCAAAAATGAAAGGAATGAAGAAGAAGAAGAAAGAAAATGAGGGGAGAAAAAGACGGAAAAGAAAGAAAAAGGGGAAGAAAAGGAGGGGTGAAGAAGAGAAATAAAGGAGCTAGTGTTTTGAAGTCGATTCCTTCCCTCTTCTTTATAGGTCTTGCTAAATGGTTCCAGGTTTTCGGTGGACTCCGATGCCGTTGGTCTACCCGCACGTCTTCTGTAGCTCTGGTTGGCCCAACGGGTGGTTGCATGTTGATCATGTTTTTGGGGATTATATGATTTCCAGTATCCAATCCTATATTGATAATGCTGGCTTAGGAAGCTTAAAGTTTCCGATCTCTCACGTCTAGTTCTTTGGGCTTGGTTCCAGTTGTTTCATTCTCTTCTGTGGTGCGGAAGGAAATCTCCTCTCCTTTACTGCTTCTAGCTTCGGTGTTGTGGAGGTATAGTGGTTTGGTAAATTGCAGTTGATAGAGTGATTGTGTTGCTGGGACGACAAGGGGTCTGTCGTGGTTCTTATGTAAGCAGGCACCTGAAAAGGAATGGTAAGGTGGTGGGAAAAAGTGTGTAGGAATCACCGGGGCGGTAAAAGTTTGTAGCATAGGTCTAGTTGCTAGAAAAGTTAGTAGATTGTATAGGTTTATTGGGAAGAGGGAAGGTGAGTGGTAGATAAAGGGGAAATGATGGTGAGCTGTTGAGGTTAGTCGCCCGCGGGGTATGTTTGTAGTAAACCATATGAATTGACATGACTATCTGACCGTATTTTGAACGAGTCCACGGGGGGGGGGGTTATGGCAATATCTCGCAGTAGGGCATTCCATAAAGCACATACTGTCAAGGAGAAAAAGTTGGACGTGGGTGTCGTATTACCTACCTGATGTGCTGTCTTAATGCGGTTTTCTCACTATGACCACTGCGTTGCAGGCAAAGTCGATTTGTTTGTGTCGTGCGCCAGATGGATGATCCTGTAGGCCATAGTGGGGTCCCCCTCTTCCTGCGATAACCCAAGGTGAATAGGTTTAGGTTTTTTGGTCTTTCGGGGCACCCCTTCCCTCTTGGCCCCCAAGCCGATTTTGTTGCTTGTCTTCGTATTTTTCCAGTGAGAGTAGTGTCTCTTGAGTGTTGGAGGGGGCAACGTACTGAAGATCTCTTGGTGTGGCATGGGTAGGACCTGAAAACTGTGAGAAAGAGCTTAGGGGTGGAGATGCCAAGCTGTCCACGCAAAAAGTCCGAAGGGACGTTTGCCGTGGTTGCCGTGTCTTTGTAGTTGGAGCTAGCGTTCAGGGTGTCGGAGAAGTTGAGCCCCAAATATACCTCTGTGTGTACTCTGTTGATAGTACTACTGCTTAATATATACTGGAAGCCGACTGTCCTTGCTTCATATCTACTGATGTGCATTGCTATGCGCTCTTTCAGCTTGAAGCTCAGGCCATTCTCGGAAGACTAGAGTTAGGGCTGCTACAAGTTATTTAGTGCTGCCGTACATTTGGCCTCTTCGTTTACTACCATTCAAAACTTACTGCGATTAACGAAAGGGATGATGGGTGAGATTTTGTGTGGTAGATCACTGACAAACAGGTGGAACGGAATCGGTCCTAGGATTGCTTCTTAGGATACCCCTGACGTCGATGGTCTCCAGTCAGACAATACTCCGCTTACCTTGGTGTGGGACTGAGCCTTCTTGGTACTGTTTGAACCAAGAGGGTAGGAGTTCTTATATATGCCGGCAGACATGAACTTGCGAAGCTTGACGGTCAGTGGAACACTGTCAAACGCCTTGGCTAGGTCAGGAAAAGTAACATGTATGGCGTTTCTGTTGTCCCAGCTTAGTGTCCAGTCGCCCCAGGCAGTTGGCAAGTTTGTGACGCGTAAACGACCACTCTGAGAGCCACGCTGAACAGTGTGGATGGTGTTTTCGCCGTGGAAGAGTTCCAAGATCGCTTCAGGTACCACGCTTCAGTAGTGTGGGAGTACGGCAATCGGTCTGTAATTTCCAGGGCTCTCTCTGTCTCCTCCCTTACGTGTGGGTGATAAGATCGCACACCTCCATTCTTTAGGGGTTAGCATGACTCTAGTGAGTGCTTGAAGAGGCGAAAAAGGGTTTTGCAAGCACCTTGGCCTCGGTTTTTAGGATTATCGGTTTTATGTTATCGCCTCCAGGGGAATTGCTTGCGCGTAGACCAAATATTTTCTCCAATACTTCTTCCTCTATGATTGGGATGTGGCAGGGGCATTCGTTATCTGTGGTCTCACCACCATCACATCAAGTCGGTGCAGATGTACCATCAGTACTACGTTGCGCTTTGAAGTGTGAGCTCAGAAGCCCAGCTGTCTTCAACTTTCTTAGTACACCCCTATCAGGATCTGTGACATGATTTACCCCTCCGCTAGTCGACTTGCCTTTCGACATTAAGCAGCATAGCCTTTCTTGGGTCCATTTGTAATCCCCCCGCCAGGCCTGTTCGGTAGACAGACCTGTTGCCACGCGCCCTTGTGTATTAGCGACTGCGATTTCTTTTGTAGTACCGGAAGTCTGACTCCCTACGAGATGAATGCCACCTGCACCAGCCCCGCTTCTTGTTTCGAGGTAGCTTCTCTGCCTTACGGTTTAATTAGGAGGTTCTCACTGACGGTCGGCGTATTACCTCCGGCTCAATGTGCCTGATGGCTCCAGCGATCACTTCATTTACTTGTTTTTGTTGTTCATCTGTTGCGGGGCGAGTCCACTGTTCAGGCCATGTCGTGTTCATGAGGTAATCTATCGCCGTCTAATAGTTTATCTTGCGACAGCGAGGAAAGGCGATGGACGTCTCCGATTGTCGATCTCCATCAGTGGCCGTAGAGAAAGCTTTTACTTCATGATAACCGAGACCAAGAGGCGGTTAGACACATGTGGTTTCGGCAGTCTGTTGACGCCTTTGGCCTCTTTACTGTCGAGACTTACTTTGGCTGAAGGCTATTCCCATTGTTGGACGTCATGGAGGCACCGATCTTCAGCGGGCCGACCATATGACAGTTCTGGGACCCCGTGCACGTCCATTGTGCTGTTCCAGTTGGAATTCCCAACCACCGTATTTCTCTCCTCCCCCCTTAATGACCATGGTTTGTCAGGCCCGTCTAGAAATTCGCAGGTGTTAAAAATATCTGATTAGCCTAAGAGAAAAAGGACGTCTTCAGCCTCCTTGGCGGTTCTCAAAGATACATGTACTCAGCGTGGCTTGCCTTGAGATGCTCGGCTTTCACGAGAAAGGCGACACAGTTTCACAGGGAGAGAAGGGAATCCTAGTATCTGACAGTAGCCAGCATACATTCGGGTGCAAAAACTGTTCTATCTCGATCAACCACGAGTCTGCCGATACATCGACGTTGAACAAGAAGATCAAGCTGAAACTCCTTTGGTCTGTGTTCGTCGTGAGTAACACGCCAGACTCATCAGTGGGTTTGTGATGCATTTGTATGGGGCGTTTCTCAATCATAGCATTTAGGATGTCCGGGTTGGGTTTTTTAAAGTGTGTAACGACCAAAATCTAATGATTTTGGTCTGAACGCGAGAAGCCATTCAACCAGACCAAACTAACGCGATCTATACAAGTTCTTAAATTCTACTGTATAGTTCCTGAACCTCCGTCAGTGATACATAGTAGGCGACTAGCGCAATAATACCAAAACCTGATTCATAGAAAGTCAGTGATTGATTTGCAATCAATCTATGGTACCATCGAAGCGACAACAGGTGATGTCAAATCACAAAAAACCTCGACGGTGCGGCTGAGCAACTACGCAGTCTAAACCCTCTCAGGCACGAACACTGCTGGGAAGCAGTAGGAATATTCCCAATAAAATTGAGTCCAAAAACTCTATCTACCAGAATCAAATCAATGAATAGACGCTTCCAGCAGCCAGCCAATAGATAAGCAGCCAAATCGCAATGCAAGCCAAAGTTGAGCCAAAACAAAATTTCCGTGGCAGTAAAACAAAGCTATGTTGTCGACAGTGCGACATCACAAAACAGCAAAGTGAAGCATTCATGATAAGCCCCTATCAAAACAAAGATAAATAATGGGTGTGAAGTCGAAGAAGATAGATATAACAAGATAACATTACATCGGTTAGGGTCAAAAGCACAGCATCGGTAATGAGGGTAAAAGTATTCAAACAAGCGTCAGCACGGCAAAAAGTAGTGCTCAGGAAAGATTTTCAATTCTTTTTTCCGTCGCAAAGTCTAGCAGACTGTTATTTTCCATGCGCTTCACTTTTTTGTGGCGGGACAGGGGGTGCCGAGGTTCTCCTTCACGTGGTCTTCTTGTGTTGTGGTGCGGGCGCAGCTGAAGACCTAGCCTTGCTTCCAGATTCCTCTGTGTTATCCCCTGATGCAAACTTCACTTTGTTTGAGGATGCTGGTGACTTTTGTTCGGTGAAGAGTATCGCTTTCAGGCCCCCGCACCGAGTGCGGGGAGCTTCCTGCCCTCTAAGCAAATGTACCAGAACCATTGGCATGGTTTCCGCTTCATCAGCCTGTATAAGCACTGCAGTC